GCCCGCCCGCCCACCCGCCCGCCCGCCCGCTCACGTGATAACATAATACGTCCCCGTCTTCGACGGGCGTATAAAAACAATGAATATGTTTCATTTCAGCTTATCTTTCTGTACTTACCTTGACATGAATCTGGTTTTTCAAAATCGCAGACCTCAATATAAGAGCCTAAAAAAATATGAAAATGCCACTTTTAAACAATTTATTCAAAGGAAGCTTATAATAGGTACTGATATTCTTTAATAGCAGAAGGTCAATAGTCATTATCATCATCTCCCATTAAGTGACAGATCTCCTTGATGGAGTGCAATTGTCAATACTAGTTGAAATACAAATTTCACAATTTGAAAACAATTTTATTGAACAGAGTAACAGATAGCAGTTAAATCTTTAAATCTGAATCCTTTATTTAAAAAGAACCTTTCTTTAGGTTAAAAACTGCAATATTACCCTTGTTCGCCTTTGGTATTCTTTACCCATGGTGAGCGACTTCTCAAATGTTGTACTTCTTTGATCTGTATCTTTTGCATATAAAATCTGAAAATAATAAAACTATGATAAAATATTTTTTCTGTTATTTCTCTTATCAGATTTCATTTACTTTTTAATAAATGTCTCGGATGTCAGATTCGTGTTTTTTTTTACTTAAAAATGTATACTACAGTATTAGGTAGTTGTAACAGGATTCTAAACATATACTTTACATCAGAACCTGTGAGATTACTGGTTGGTGTCCAATTCTTCAAACAGCACATTATACAATACCCTATGGACTTTTGTGCTGGTAAATATGATGTGATATGAACCTGAAAAAGCGATGTCAATATCATTTTTTCAGGTTCATATCACATCATATTTTCCAGCACAAAAGCCCATAAGAGATAATAGTTAACCTTTACTGGAACAAGCTTTTGTGTAAAATTTAGCCATGGTTGAATCCAACAGTCCAGCATCATAGCTTTCAAAAACATTGTTAAGGTTATTTTCCTTAAGATAAGCATGAAGGACACAATTTGCGTGTTCGTTGGGCTTTTTGTGTTAACAGCATCTTTATCTTTGAGTAGATTTTCAGATTTTCAGAGGTAACGGAGGCGAAGCGTTCGCCAGCAGCCATCATCTGTTCCATCTGCGCATGTGCTATAACAGTTTCCGGGGAATTTCCATACAGGCTATATTTAGAAATCGATATTCACCGGATAACCAGTCTACATGAGTTTTTGAGGACTGGTCAAGTGTATATGATCCGACCAATGTGACTGCGATAAATTTTCAACCATATAATAAATATCTATCTAAAACAGTATACAATTGTTTCATGGCTATTTGGGGAACAGTCAAAACTATCATCCCTCGGTAGGGGGAAGCCCTGGGGAACTGTTTGCCCGAGGCCGCTATTCCCAAAATAACCATGAAACAATTGTTTTATTACCAAATAAATATTAGTATCAATGCTGCATGCAATGTTGCCATTGCTTCAACACTGAGTCGCAGTCACCGAAACGCTTGAATGGGGCTCTCGAGCGGGGATTTCTGCGCATCGAAATCGCGCCGGGTAACAGTTCACTTTGAAAACAGTTTTGACTGTCACCCCTACAGCCGAAATTGGACAAAAGGGCAGAAACAGTCAAAAATGACTAATTATAATTTATATAGAATATTGGGTAATAAAAACACTTATTGGTAAATAATTGTGGTCACAGAGACAAACACAGCTGCCGCAGTTTGTCAATTTTCCGTGATTGTTCCTGTGATACACATGCCTTGTGGGCAATGTTCACCACCAGTAGGTTGTATACACTTGTTAACAAACCATAAGATTCAGGGAAGTTATAAGAATAGTTAAAACATGTATCTACCAGTACTTTGTTGTGAGATTCAGAGAAGTTGTAAGAATAGTCCATATTTACTTTGTTGTCAGAAGCTGTGATAATAGTATATCTACTATGTCGCGAAAAGCTGTATGAATAGTCAATGTTTATTTTGTTGTGGGAAGCTGTGAGAAAAGTCTACATTTACTTTGATGTCGGAAACTGTGAGAAGAGCCTGCATTTACTTCATGGTGAAAAGCTGTGGGAGTTCAGTGGTTGGTTATATCTACTTTGTTGTCAGAGAATGGTATGCCCTATTTTTAGTGGGTAGCTGTGAGAATAGTGATGTCAGAAGCCAGGATAAATCTACACTTCATTTGTAACGGGAAGCCACCTACTTTGTTGTGTGAGTCTATCCTGGCGTTGATTTGACCCTCAAGAATAAGCTGCATGAGCTCATCCTCTAGACCGCCAACTGATGTATTGAAGGCCTCCGCCATTTTTCTCATGTCTGCTGACAGATAGGGGCTGAAGTACTGTAGAAACACAAACAAGGAATAACTGTGATCAAAGCTATAATAACGGAAATATCTACAGTCAATTTTGATATAAACGCAACTCAGAGTATCAGATGACTATCTCTTAACAAATTCTAAGTTGAGAATTTTTGTACTCCATTTTAAGGCCCTTTATTGCCATATAAATTTGAGATACCAGTATTCTGATTCAACACATAATCAAAAGTAAAAGCTGTAAGAATAATTTTACAGCAACCGAAAATTAACAGAATATTTTTCAATGACCAAATTCTGATTTACTGTATGCTGCTGTAGATGATATATATATAGGTATAGTAATCACATTTTCTCCCGTCAGTGTACCAGTCGACTTACCTGACACAGGGCTCTGTTCCGAATTTGTGAGTACAATACATTAACATGGGGAGCTAAATACATATCCAGTAAAAGGTTGTCCTGCAAATACAAAATCAGTTTTAGTAAAGCACATGATGCAGTCCAGATTTAAATAGGAGTCAGACTTTCAGATATAATATTTAGCTGCACATACTGTAGCTCTAAGGCAGTGAGACAAAGTTATAAAATGTAAACTTAATTGATCTTACAACAATTATGAAACAATTTATTACAACTTATATCAATAACTCTTATTGGTCCAAATGCTAGCAATTGAGGGGTCTTAAGTAGGAGGAAACCGGAATACACGGAGAAAACCCACAACCTCGGCCACCTTGGTGAAATGCAGGTGCGTTACCACTGCGCCACCTGACCACTCTTATAATGAAAACGAGAGAGTGAAGCATAATATGTAACTGTAACTGACCTCTAAAAGTGAATACAGTTTGGAATTCAAGGCAAGTTACACATACTGAGAATACAGAACGAATCTATTTAATCAGACCAAACATATCTTGCCTGCAAGATTTGTTGGACTGTTATTGGAAGTGACCGTGTTTTACACCATTCTATACAATTCCAAAACTCCACTTACCTTGATTTCTCCTAGAAGCTTTAAACATGATGCATATTTTGACTCATAAAATTTGTGAAGAATGTCTCGTAACTGTGGTTCCAATTCCAAGAACAATTTAAAAGAACTGAAATGTAAAAAAAGGATGCCTTTAGAATTATCAACCAATTTAAAATGTTCGATTACTCTAAAGACTACCTTGGATAGGTTAAACAATGTGTAGTAACGTATTCAAATTTTTGTTTATACTTAAAACTTCCTTTAAATATGTTTCTCTCTTTATATTGCACAACCTAAATATTCAGTTGTTATTTCTGGATGTACTCTTGCAGGATTGCCGTAAAAAAATATATTTGGACCATATTTCCGACATCTATGCGGCAGAAATGCAACACATGTGAGCTGCTTTGAATTACTGACTCTCTGTATGCTGAGCAACAAGAGAAGAAATAGAGAAGTCTTAATCAAATGCACCCGGATGTTATGTCACACTAACATGGAAATTAAGCTGCTAAATAAAGCTGCATTTGACAGTGCATTTTGCAAGATCTGAGCAGCAAGGCTAGCTTCATAAGACCATAATGATAGTTCGTAACAATACAAACATAGGATCGTATCAAGAATATTTTAATACAAGCATCAATTTTATGATACTTGGGAAATTGAAAGCAAAACTGAATGCCATGTGGTCATGTAACTCGATCGTATCGGGTATCGGAGAAGTCAGTTAGATAGACGGGAAAAATCTCATTGGTTTAAAATTATTTCTAATAAAGGAAGATCATTAAATATGCTTTTTTTGGCACAACGTTTCAATGGCCATCTTTTATGTTACCCCACGTTTACACACAAAAGGCCACATATCTTTTTGGTATAAGGCCAAAATGTCCCCATAATCAGCAAGGCAAGAATAATCACTGGAGATGATGCCAGTCTGCTGCAGATAAATGATGACAATATAGTTTTACTTGACACATACCTGCTAGATATAACATTTTTCTGTAGTTCCTGTCTGTCGAATGAAGCCAAAGCACAAAACACACCGTAGGTGGCCACATTACTGGCTGACAGCAACTGAAATATTGAAAATAGTGGTCAACTTAAAAAAAGAAAAACCTAATAATGCAAAGGCTGACAAATGTTATATATACAAGTGATAAGCCCAGGGAGCCTGTGCATGAAAATATGTCAAAAGTAGGGGGTGGGCTTATTACTGGGCACCCAGCCTTTGCATGGAAATTACGAAAAAGTGGGGCCGAGATTGGCTGATTATTTCTAGGCATGGGCTTATCACCCGTAAAATATGTTATCAACAGCTATAATAATACAGTGTAATAATAAAGTGCATTTGTTTACACAATGGAAACATACCAGGTATGCACACATGCACACATATATATATATGTACGATCATTATGTATGTAGTATTATAAAGGTAAAGTATATTTCATACCTGAAAATGTATGGCCGACTTATTTTTGTCGTTAACAAGAAACAAACTTCATAAATCTATGTTTGCAGAAAAACGACAGCAAAATTTACCTCTGGAAAGTCACAGAAGTCAAAATTGGCTAGCAAGAAGTATTTGGCAGCAGATTTGTATTTCTTTGTGGCAAGATCTGCTAAGCCTGCTGCACATTTCAATTTGGTTAAAACTGCTTGTCCCCCGTCTTTTCCATGCTGAAAGTAAAATCACACAAGGGTTTGGTAAATGAATAGCAATATTTTTTTGATGAAGACAATCTTTTTTTTTTACTATTAAGAAAAAAGGATGATGCATTTCTACACAAATGTCAATTATACCCCAAAAAAGTCTGTTTAGGGTTGCATGGGCAAAAATAATAGGGTAGCCTAGGTACATTGTGATCATTTAGAAAAACCTTTTCGGGTACCATGTGGTCATGTGATTATGAACCCACTATTGTACGTAAAGAATTACATAATGAAGGTGTTTAATCATGACCAATTTTACAGGTTCACCACAATCCTGTGTCCAGTGTTCATCTTTCCAGTTATAAGTCATGCCATTGCCACTACCTGATTGATCAACCTTGATCAACACCAGGCAAAAACAATGTCCCTCACTACTAGTTCATTCAATCATTCAATAAGTAAATCATTTCATTTATCCCTATTTTATACTTTAGCTGGAATATCTTTTTATTTTCATCAGTCTTCAAGCCTGAAAAATGGTGTGAATTGATAGAAAGACTGCTATACTCTACCAGAAAAATTTAGTGAAAAAAAAATTCACAACCTTTGTTTGTTTCATTATTGCTCTAGTGTATCCTACTAAACTTTATTTATGTCAGTTGATTATTTATTCATCATTTGATGGTGAAATGGAGCAAACACATGCAAAAACATGTAAAAGACACCAGTCTACTGTCCTGACAAATGTGCACCTGCTCGAGCACCAAAACTGTGTGTCCTTGGCATCAGGCAAGTAGATTTTCACGACCCTGATAAAAAGGTTTTTGTTGGGGGGTAAAAGGTAAGGTCGGTCAGGAACCCTAAACAGACATATGATTTTTTTAAGCCTTACTTTTGAACCTCGTTATTTTGAAGTCAACAGGATGGAGGAAAAACTTAAAGAGTTATCCAATGTTTTTGTATTAAGTTTGTTATGATGGTCAAATACGACTATGAGACTATCCAAGTAGTTGATTTTACCGACAGTCAATGTCTATAAACTGTCAATTGAAGAAAAAAAACAAATATTAATATCAAATGAAAAATAATTAATTAATTATTATATTCTTTATGTAATGTTACATTAAACACATAATATTATGCAAACAGAAAGTTTGTTACTAATTTCAAACTTACATGCTGTCTCCGACTTTGTGCTTCTAATACGGAAATTAAAGTGTGCAAGTCATTACACAAATCACTCTGTTGGAGCGTACATGTAGTTGATGTCATAAACTAAATCAACACACGAAATCAATTCAGTACACGTCGTGCAAAAATACATCAAGAATTCAACACCAATTTCATAATTGACATCTCCTACATAGGACATACTCAACAATAATTATCATATTGTCCTTATTTCTCAATTGGTTATCAAAGCCATACAAGCTCCTGTAAAAATATGAACCAGCAAACAAGGCCTAGGTTGTGACATTAAATGTGGAGCTCATTTACACATGACAGTGCATTGTGACCCGTTTTTTGGTTTGACAGTGTCGGCAGCCTGGTATAAATAATGTACAATTCAAATTGGTTAACAGGCTTGCAGTGAGTACTGATAACTGTTTATCAACATTGATGAAGTTTGCTTCTTAATAATAATGTGATTTAAGTCATAAATTTAATCGAATATAAATATGACCTGCTTAATAAAAACGATGTTCAGAATTGTGACTTATTGTAGCGTTAAATCTAATATGTAATAAAGATAAATAGATTGACAGGTGAGAATTTCAAAAAATTCCAAATAAGTAACCCTTCGATGAATAATTTATGCTGTTGGAATCAATATTTCACTTCGGGATATTTTTTTTCCTCCTTTTTTTATTTTAGAGTTTGAATTATCAGGTGTTTTTTTTAATTCGAAGATATAGAAGAGCTTTGGCCGGGACTGCACGAAATACTTCAAGTTAAATGGGGTGTTCCGTTTATAATAGATCAAGATAACGAAGTTCGACTGTATTATCTTAAGTTCTTTTTTACACAACCAATAACATTTTCTATGTGACGTTTCGATGACTAGCTGAATCGAGTCATTTCGGTACATATATAACAACTATTGTACAACGCTTACAACGTAGCCGAAATAGACATCAATTTTGTGGACAACTCGTACACATTTTACACCTTTGTGTGCATACGCTTCACTGGTCATTTGTTGGATGAAGGTGACAGTGTACATATCGTACTAGTCGTGGAAATGTCACATAGCAAATTTTATTGGTTGTGTAAAAAAGAACTTTTCATAATCCATACTTACCAACCTGAAGAAAATGTTTAGAAATGTATTATCTAAGGCCTATTCCAGAAATGAAGATATGAATATATTTGGGGAATGTGTTATTTGTTTACATTTATAAAGAGGACTCAAGGGAAAACAAATTTTGGGTCACTAAATAGTAAGCGAATAATAATAAATATATTTTCTAGAATAATACACTGCACTTTACTGTGCATTAGCAAAATACTTAAATCCTAGCCTCCATAAATACTCATAAAAAGAAAGTCTATTTGTCTAACACAAATAAGAAATCTGCTCTATTTACTTAAATAGAATGTCTATCCTTCATCCACACCTACGAAGGAATCAGCTATTCTAACATAGATCTTTGTTTGGTCACACCACTACTCACCTCAGCCATCTCTGGAGTGCTCTCGGCTTTATTTACGTAACTTTGTACATGGGACCAGTTTTGTAGATACACACTAACCTGTAGTGTAACAGAACATGCAACTTTTAATACAGCAACTTTGACTGACTCACACTAGTGTGCAGAAGTATTTTGTATTATTTTGGACATTATCTTTTTATTTTTATTTCACTGTAGGTATTAATCTTCTGTTCAGAACTTTTTTGATACTTAAAATAATAACTATAATACTTTACTTCAATCTCAAAGTAACATTTTGCTGAAAACAGAGGAAAACCCAAAAAGTCATCTTGAAAATGTTGTTCAAAGCCTGGTTACTTTAACAGGTTTTCAATAATTATTTTGAAACTCTAGATTTTAACTTTAATTTTTTCAAAGATATGTCATATAAACGATTTGTGTGGTAGGTCTTATCAGATTCACACAGCTTACCTTGATAACATTTAAACACATATTGACTACATGTTTAGAGATTGTGCAGTAATCTCTAGCCCTGGAATAACACTTAAGTGCGTTGCTTAAATCTCCACAGTCCAAATGGTGATCGCCAAGATCATCGTGACCTCGTCTAAAAAAAGTCAAGGACATGAAAGACATGTTACCTCTGTTTCATCATGACAAATATATGTTATCAAAAATGTTAACAGAAATTTCTATAGTCGTTCTGTTTTCAAAATATATATTGAAAATTTTCACTTGCCCTGACATGAAATTAATTCACTCACCCCTGAAGACACATTTGAACTCTTCCACTTCGAAGGTTGGAATAATTAATTTTGAAATTTTAGGGGTGAATGAGTTAACCAGTCCCAGGCTAGTGGAATTCTCCACCCCCGAGTCAGTGGTTTTTCAAATAGACAGAATATTTTTAAGCGTTTCCTGTCTGAATCTTGTTTTGTTTTTAGGAGAGAGATATAACAAAATATTTTGATAACTAGCTGTGGATATTAAAAACAACATTCCAGCTCTCTACTCACCTTATACTTTCCTTGATCGAATTACTTTTATAGTTTTTCAGATCTGTATCTAGCTTCTCCAACTTGAGCGCCGCTTTCTTTGCCGTTGTTTCTATCCATTGCGTATCTAGTGCAGGCATGTTATGAACTACGCCAGCCACAGCATCAGGTAAACTTGAGGAACTGTCATCAAAATTAACAGTAGATATTACAACTGACTGAATAAAAATCCCTCAGTCCTATAGATGTTCTTTACAATGATTAGAGCTCAATTTACATTTCTGTTCTTGCTGCCTTGAAAGTACAAACCACAGTTCTGAGATACATGTATCATGTTGCGATTCCAACCAAAAATGCATTAACACAGTCATGTTTAATGGTTGAATGCTATCAACAGATATCAAGTTACAAATGTCTTGTTACACTGTACTACTGACTACAAGTGGTATTTCAAAAATATTCCAATAAACTTATTAACCAAAAAATCTATTTTTTCAATCTGAATATCATGAAATAATTGATATACCAGGTAATAACCTTCTTAATATAAAGAGGATATCTATTGTATTGTTTGTGACATCACTATGACGCAGCTATTGATGAGGTCGTGTAACTAACGGTGACTAATAAACATCAGTCCACACGAGGAGGCCAAGAAGGCAGAAAGGTCTTGCGCTCAGTCTTGCATATTTGTTGTTTTATTATATATATATAAATGATACTTCAGTATCAAATCAGAAAATATTGATACTCCAAAGTTTTTTCCAATAAAAGAATAAACATGAAGATTTAAAACTGACAAATAAACTTATCACTGATAAATGGAGAAACTACTTACGAAGCCACAGCTTCCTGAAGTTTTCTGTGGATTTCTTGATACAAGTTTGTGTTGTATGTGGTCATTACATAGGACAGAGCCATTCGTAGTGCCTCCACTCGGAGACTGGGACAATGCTCGGCGATAAACAGCTGTCTCTTTAATCGGGCCAGGCCTGTGTACTGACTTGCATACTGCTCCAAATCCTATAAGTAATGAAATCACTTTAGAGACAGAAAACTTGTTCATATATCATAGTCCCCTCAACTAGGAAATGCTCAAATGTGACTAATTTCCTATAAAGATGGTTCAATATCATAATCTATAAATCCTTATACAACCATCCTCAATATCCAGGGGTTACACTCACTTTTGCTCTCTACATCCCTGAATAGCAAAATTGAAGGCACGAAGACAGCTGTTTGATTGGTCTCAGGTAAAAAAAACTGACCAATCGCTAGGATGATACCTGTTCTTTGAAGATTACAAAGGAGAAACGCCAAACTTCAACGCCTGTCAATTTTTACCGTTACGTGACCGCAAGATTCTTTTGATGTACATCAAAGGATCGAACTAGTCTTCTTGTAACATAAACAAGGTGGCGCTCACTGGGCCTTCAATTTTGCTATTACATAATTAACAGTAGTGCTGCCACCAGTGTTACATTTGTAAATTATCACTACTGCTGGACACTAGTTTTTAGTAATCCACTGACAGTCACCAGTGTTACATTCTCTTTTGTATTACTGATGCTTTCTGTTCTCAATTTCTACTGCCACCAGTTCAAATTAATTGAACAACAAAATGAGTACATTTATATTTACTCTATGTTTACAACACAAGTTCTTTTAATCCGTCATAAAATATACTAGTCTTCGCCATTTAGAACTCAATCTCTCCACTCTAAATTAATCTCCAACTATAAACTGTAAAACTACATAGATCTACAAACTACAGCTAAAACTTCCTAATTCTCACTTTAACTCTAACTTTCTAACTCTCCTCTATATCTCTAGCGTCTCAACACGGTCTACCTAACTCAACCTCTTTCCTCAGACTCCTAAATTCAACTCTTTCCTTTATCGCCCAAGCTAAACTACCTTACTATCTGTCCCTTAGCAAAATCCTGCTACATTAAAAATGTTGAATCATTAAAATTGTTGATGCTGCTATAATCCTGCAAAAATTTGACCCCTAAACAACTAGGTAGGTTAAACTGGCCATGAATCCTGCTAAATTTGACTCCAGCAGTCATCAGCATCAGCTGGAAGCACAAACACTGACATCACAAACTGCCCCCCCCCCCCCCCCCCCNCAACTAGATAACAAATAACAATCAAGAAATTTAGATTTGACAAACCATGGTTTTGTTGTACATTCATGAGGCACTGAGCCAGAGGGGGAAATTCCTTTACTATTAATTTATTACACTTAAAAAACTTTAAATGATTTTCCTTTGATGTACAAGTAATTTTCAATTGTCAGTGAATTTCTGGTCTGTGGCAGTGTTGTACTTACTAAAGATGTGTTTTCTACTTGGTACTGACTATCTTCCACATTGTCATTTTCCTCTGGCTGAGCATCCACCTGCATGGGCTCGACAGCACCCTGTTGATAACAATTCAAATGAAAACATATTTTATCATTTAGATCATAAGGGTTTTACATCTAGTGAAGATATAAAACTGAATTGTGGTAAATATTCATGACTAGGCATCTACACAATTATTGCTTTGCACAATTTATAATGGATATTTCAAAAGTGAGAGAAGAATACCATATCTCTGTTACGAGTGAGGCAAATTACCAATATTTTATTACAATTTTTACTAGTGAGGCATATTATCATTATTTTTACATGTGCAAAGCATGAGTGAAAAATGTAATTGTGCGGGCACAAGTAAAATATATAGAAACCAATACTCTATATATATTGATCTCTCAAAAAAGCCTTTCTTTGACTGTGTGCCATGTGATTGTCTGGTGGGATGTTCATATAATTATATTTTAAGTGTAACAAGCCAATGATCATGGCAACATTGTATAAGTTTTGCTTGACAATGATAGGTACCATACTTTGTTGTTCAAAGAAGTGGACAGTGGACATTTGTTTAATTATATGTTAATCATATTACTTTCTTAAATTACTTCTAATAATTGCCTTCAACAGATGCTGATGAAATATAAAGTATAATTATTTCAAAAGACTCCAGTTTCAACTAAATTGGATCAGACGTCACTTTGACATCTTGCATTGCTTAAGTGAAAAAAGAACAATTTCATCACAATAATATTTCTATATCTGATTCAGATACTGAAAATGTAATATTAAAAGATACATAAACCATTATTGAGTATATGTACCCTGTAAGTAAAATCTTAGCAAAAATTTTGGCTGAGTTTCATTCTTAAAAATGGATTTTTAATTCCATATTTAAATGCAACGTAATCACATATGATTTAATTTTTTTTTACAAAAAGTCACATTTCAGGTCAAACAAAAGAATCATGTTTGTTTTCTGCTAAATGTCTTAAGAGTCTAAAAGCAGGTTGTGAAACTGAAAACAAACATTTCTTATCTGGCCTCAGAAATGTTAATAAAAAATAAAACCCAGAGTATTACAATAGTCCAGCTGCCAAACATTTGAGGGAAAATAAAATGACAAAAAACTAGCTAATAAATTTGCCCAAACATTAAGAAAAACTGCAGAGTGTAATGAGAAAAGCATTATTGATGGTTCGATTCACAGTTATTGAAGAAGTGTAGTTCAGGAGTATGCTGTTTCAGATATACAAGTTTCCAAGTGCACAAAGTGTTAACTCATTCACCCCTGGAGACACATTTGAGAATTCAGGGGTGAATGAGTTGAATTGGTAAATTTGGACTGAAGCTAGTTAGATATCAATGTGCACTGGGGAACTGCACACCAGTGTTTTGGTATGTTGTGCTAACAGCTGTCCTATCATTTCAAATCCAAAGTGAATGTGTCGCCTGCGCAGGAAGCTGGAAGATTGTGCTTAGCACTGCATGAAGTTTGAGTTTGATCGGCCCAAGGAAACTCAAGTTATCGCACGAAAACAGATTTTCTATTTATAGTAAGTGACCTTGACCTTTGACTTTTGGCCCTGAAAAGCAATCCTAAGCAAGCACTTTTGGTAAGGAAGCAATGCATGAAGTTTGAGTTTGATCGGCCCAAGGAAACTTAAGTTATCGCACGAAAACCTCTGTGCGGATGCCGCCGACGCCACTGACATAGCAATACCTGTGTCACCAGCTTTTTGCAGGCGACACAAAAAGTATCTCAAAAATTATGTTTTCTGTTCATTCTAAATCAACAAACCAAATGTAAACCAAAGCTTGCTGTAACAAGACATAGTGACAGGTATCCAGGTAATGATGTACTTGCATTGGACATAGTGTCAAAATTAGCTTTAGCTAAACAGAATTTCCCTTAAACTCAGCGGAGTTAGAGAGTTCACCTAAAAGATCTGGATTGAGGATATATTCCCAAGCAAATGCACATCTTTGCACCACTTTCCTATTACATACTGTAGCCACAGACCCTACCTGTTCAAGGTAGTGGAGAACCCTTTGCAGGGAGCAAAACATTCTTGGTTGTGGTTGTTTTTCGAGAGTGGGGACTTTGAAAAGGGAGAGAAAAGCAAAGGAGGTGCAGTTGACATCTTTCTAAAGTTGACTACACAGCTTTTGCTAGAGGGAATTTCCCTTTAGCTCAGCGGTAGATAGTCCGACTAGACTGTTTGTGATTGCTGGTTTGCTGGGCAACAGTTCTTCATTACATGTGATGCGACTAAGTAAACAAGAGGCCCAAGGGCCTTAGCTGTCACCTGAGTTATATTATAGATACTGGTAGCTCAATTTCATTGCTGAGATGTGATGTGAAAATCAATATGTAAACTAAGTGAAATACAATACTTGTCATGTCATCAAAGGATAAGAATTTTAAAAATGGGGATGGGGTAGGAATCCCAATTTTACTATGCAATACATATACCCTCATCCTCCAAAGATGATTCTGACAAAGTTTGAATAATTTTCTGCTGAAAATGGATAAAATATACCCAACGAAATGTGTCATTTCCTTTTATAAACTATAGTAAACTTTACCCCCTCCCCAAGGGAGAATGGATAGGCCGGAGGTCCTGAAATATACATTTGATTTCCCTTTGGGGCCCCGCCCTGGCCCCTGGAGTTGGGGTAGGAATCCAAATTTTACAATTCAAAAACCATCTTCCTCCATGGATGATTCTCACTAAAGTAAGAATAATTTTCTAAAGAAAATTGTCAAAATATACCCAAAAGTGTTATTTCCCTATATAAACTAAAGTAAACTTTACACCCTCCACAGGGATAGTGATATTTACAATTTAAATAAAGCCCCTGATGATCTTTCCTTCCATGAACAGAAATTGACTGTATTAGATCTTAATCTGGAAAAGAAGATTTTTGAAATATTTGTTAATGTTCCCTTTGGGGCCCCGCCCTGGCCCCTGTGGTTGGGGTAGGAATCCAAATTTTACAATTTGCAATCATCTTCCTCCAAGGACAATTCTCAACAAGTAAGAATAATTTCATAAAGAAAATAGTCAAAATATACCCAAAAGTGTTATTTCCCTATATAAATTATGGTAAACTTTACCCCCTTCCCAAGGGAGTTTACAATTTAAATAAAGCGCCTGGTGATCTTTCCATCCATGCAGAGAAAATCACTGTAGTACCTCGGAGTCTGGAGAAGAAGATTTTTGAAATATTGGATAATGTTCCCTTTGGGGCCCACCCTGGCCCCAGGGGTTTGGTTAGGAATCCCAATTTTACAATTTTGTAGCATCATCTACCAAGGATGATTTTGACCAAGCTTGAAAAAATTCCATCTACTGGTTCTGGAGAAGAAGTTGAAAATGTAAAAAGTTTACGCACGACACACAACGCAAGTCGCACAACGACGGAAGGAAAGCTATCAGAATAGGTCACTTGAGCAAAGCTCAGATGACCTAATAAAACCTTAAAAATGGACAAGATCCAAATAAATTATCATTCAGGTAAGAACTTGTATTATTGATATATCTAATGAACAGCCAGTAAACGTTGCTGAATAGTTTAAGAGGTTTTCAAAGACCTTATTGTGTTTTTAGTTTTAAATAACACGTGCAGAATTTTTCAGAAAATTCAAAAGAAGAGTCCTTTGTCAAAAAATTCACATTAATCTGGCATCATTCTTTTAACATTAGAAAATGTGTCGTCCAACTGGCAAATGACATCGGCTATTTTAGCATATTGTCATCTGTTTTAGAGTACCTGTATGTTAAATACAAAACGAAAAGCAACTCACAGAGTGACCCCACATCTACAATTATTTAATCTCTCATAATTTGACTTAGGTGAATTGTCAGTAAGCTATGTAATCAGTTAACATGCATGCAATATAACCTATCCTTGGAAATGTGACAGTTATGCCACAGCCGTATCTCCGCCATGTTTGTTACTCATGGGTATGAAGCAGCATGTTTGACGCTTCAACAAAGACCAGTGGATAGTGCAAGCTTATTGACCGTCAGGAACCGGAGTCTATAGAGTATCTCGTTACTTGTAAAAGTAATGAAAGGGACAAAATACCTGAAATAAACCTTGGTGAATTGGAAGCGGCATCTTTCCGGAAGCTTCTCTCACATCTTCCGGATATGAAATTGCGCAGGTGCGACGATCTCGGTCGCACAAATGTTTCGTTCAAAATTAATATTTTAAGCGCCAAATATTCAAACATGATTTCGATTTTATTTTTATCAAACCTGAATTTGTTACAAAAATATCATTAAGAAGCTTATAGATCCTCATAACTGTCATGTTATTCTGCTCGATTTTAATTTCACAATACTTGTTTTGAATGCATTTTTAAAGGGGGAGGTGATAGGTCTATCATGATGATCGCAGTTGCCTCCTAGCCGCTTTGCATTAGAAATGTCCCCTTTAGGCCTAGCTCAATCAGTACAGCGGCGGACTGGGGTGTCTATTCTCCCACCCTTCACAGGCGTGTCTCCCGTTTCGACAAGGAAAGATTAATAAAATCTATTACCTGTAACTGAGCGAGATCGGGTTATCTCAGTCGATGGTTAAGATTCTGTAACAAAATCAAATCCGAGGCGTAAGCCGATCTTGCTCAGTTACTGGTATTGATTTTTTTCTCGCACCTTTTAGTACGAAAAAAACAACAACTCAAATTTGCTAAAAACTACAGTTTTCCCGTCTTGGGCTTCAAATGATAATGACCTCTTCACTACTTTAACTACATTTGAATGCTTCCGCGTAAAAATGAAGTCCGTCCTTACATAGATTACAACGTCTTTCACAGTGTAGATTATTTATTTTATCTAAAAACATCAAAACTATACATATAACGACAAAACAGAACATTTATGATGCAAATTGTCAATTTCAAGCACGGATGAATACAGCGCAGTGTAAAAATTCCGCGAAATGTCACGTAAAGGTACAAGACAGATCGGACGAGATAGAGAAATCTAGCATGTGATATGACGTTGGATATCTTTGTCTGAGGTGCAGCTTTCCTTGCATACTTAACCGAGATATCCGCATTTTCGGCGGTGCTGGAAAATTCTATCTGAACCACGGGTCTAGATCGCTTACACGCGCAGACTGGCGGGGGGTATTCTAGTGACCTTTCGGGGTCACGCGTCACGCTATTGTTCATGACGTCATTTTATGACATTTTGGGGTCAGTCAGGGTCATTGACGTCATAAACAAATGAGAAATGCGCGGACAGTTTACAACTTTATTAGAAGAGCAGCTGTTTTTATGGGTTTTAGGTAATAAGCAAGAAATATAATCCATCCCTGGTGTGAGGTAAGGATAAGATAATTCAAACCCTCGGGATAAAATATTGAGCAAAAGATCCTCGGCAAAGCTCAATAAAAAACAGCTGCTGCTCTTCTAGTACAGTTATAAATTATCCGCGCATATGCAGCACGGAAAACAATTGTTAATGACGTCAATGACCCTGACTGTCGAAAATGAGCAGAATATACCCTCAGCAAAGCCTCGGGTCTCCTGCTCAATATTTTATCCCTTGGGTTTGAATAACCTTATCTAATCATCCCCTCAGGGATGGATTCTATTAGTCAATCCCTATAGGGGGAGATAGCCTCGTGCCGATTAGCACTTGTTCAACTATGACGTCATTAAAATGCGTCACTGATAATTGTGACGTCATCAAAAGTGAATGACGATATACACTACTGTCGGTTGAGTTGTGACTGAAATAATAAGATGGGAGAAAAAATTGTTTAGACCTGTTTCTTCGTTTTATCACGGAATTAAATTAGATATTTTTTTACTAAACAAGGAAATATACATTTTTTTATGACAAACATTAAATTTAAGTGCAAAAAATAAACCGAGATGAACAAGTCTATGAGCAATGTATTATTGTGGTGATGACAATAATTAGCATCTTACACTACAGTCACTAGCACTTTCCCAATACAAAAAAACACCTTATAGAAATTTGTAGAAAATAACTAGAAATGTATTGTTACCTGATATGAGGTGGCAAATTGACATGTTACGTTTTATTTTACAAATAGCTAACTGCGATATGATGTAATCTCAGGTTTTAAGACGAATCGTTATTAATTTATTCATGCAGTTATTTTGAGTGAAGGCCTAAAACTTCATAATGGACAAGGGGAGGTAAATCCTCCATGCAACCCTCTGGTACACGATATCACGTGACGTTTTATACAAAATAAAGCGTCATCAAACTTTGGGCACGCACAAGGTAGCGGTTTCAGCGCATCTGTGGACGAATTTGCTACACTCTACGGTAATTTGCATAGTTTTCGCTAAAGTTGATTACTTTATGGATTGCATATATTAATTCAATTGGTATTGCTTCTTTGCACATGTTTTTAAAATAATGTCTGGTGTTGTAAACAGATCTATCCACCGCGCACCGTTTACTGCTATTTTGTAGGGCTCCTTGGGGGTATTAAATTTTTGTTGTCTTTGCAATATATGCTCATAAATTATTGAGCTTTAATTAGAAATGTATATGTGCATTTTAATAATCGTTCCATATTTATTTACGATTTCAGTTGTGGATATAAAAGATGATTTATGTATTTTATATTTCAAAGAAATCAATATGGGAGCCCCTAAACATGATCGAGAGCCCCTAACCTAATTTTCGTCCGTTGAATGTTTGTGATCTGTGCATTTATGATTTTCGAGCACTCAAAGTGCATACTAAGATGGATGATCTTTTCACATTGGCATTTGAATCTCAAATAAATTATACTCAATAAAAAGTGCAATTATTTGCAGGAGTCTGTGTACTTTGAGGCAATATTAGAAATGAGCCGGTTTAATCTGCATCCATTCCCATGTTTACTAAACTTTTACAGTAGTGTTGTATCTACATATCCATCCGTACATATTATGCATATGGCTGTTTTTCAGCAATTACCTCCCAATGCGATGTATCCTGATAGTAATACTCCTAAATTATAAATCAAATGTGGGAAGTTAGGTTGTTAAATACTTCTCACATATGTATTACTTTGTTAAATGTAATTGTTGTTTATGATTTACAGACAGGGATCTGTTACTTTCCGTGTTATTGATCACAACAATATTTAGGGTACTGTAGGGCTTTTCATTCAGTATAGGATTCCTGGCGATCAGCTGCTACGATACCAGTGTTGAAATCTGTGTGTTTACACTTTTGAGATGACCGGAAGTGGATGATAGTAAGACCGGGACTTTATCATGGACTTATAGGTTTCTGCTTCTTACTCACAATGCTTTTAGATGGTGAGACTGGGTTCAAGATTAACAGTTGGTCACTCATCGGCTATTTGGTAGGGGGATCAGTGTCTTGACAGGGTTGATGAGCAGACTCACTTCTCCAGGTGAGGAGAACCTTACTGCCTCATGCACGGTTAACAGTGCAAAACTTGGGCCAAGGTGCTGCTAACAGTACCAATACCATCTATAAGACTATGTGAGGTACATGTATATAGGCATAGTCATGGGACTTTGGGCTTAGGCATCGATACATGGTGGTTTGCTGTAGATCTATATGGAGCTAGGAGCACATGGTCGTAGTCTAATGGTAGTTCTGTTAGGTAGGATAGGCCATTACTCTACATACTTAGGGATTGAGTTTCTTAACATTAGCTGTCATTGTTCGGCACTAATGCTATGCTTTGTATATTCATTCCGTCTTGTAAATAATTAGTTATCTTTTGAAACACCTTGTTGAGTTATTGAATCAATTGCTTGTATTACCACTACAACGGGTGTCCGAACCTGTAGTGAAAACTGGTCTGTAAGACCTGATGAAAGAGGCGAGGTCTAGAGAGAGAACTGCAGGGGAAGTTGTCGACTCGTTACCATTACCAAAAACTATACGATCCCGATATGGATTTAACGGAGTGACAACGGATGCAAACCCTCTCTGGACCTCCCCCTATTAAACAAATAAGTCTTGCATCCAAAACTTCCTTTATTTAAAGAAAGAAATGTGAATACTCTGTATTGCTCATATCTTATAAATTGACCTGGTTCATTTGTGAGACACGAAACCATAGCCTAGTGTAGGACCCTCATTATCTGATTACAGACATCAGGAAGAGTATACAGAGAAGGGCTGTCTTAAAATAGCTATAATACAGTCAGTAGGACAGATTGAGGAATCACGACAATAATCGAATGATCATGCTGTACTACAGTACTAGGTTGGATCGTACCTACACACCAAAAGTGTAGTACTAGGTTGGATCGTACCGACACACCAAAAGTGTAGTACTAGGTTGGATCGTACCTACACACCAAAAGTGTAGTACTAGGTTGGATTGTGCCTACACACCAGAAGTGTTGAGGTGCTTACCATGATTCTACCTCTTTTCATGACGATGTAAGAAATTTCCACTAAAAACTCTTTTGCAGTACGTACTCTACTTACCGGTACATGTATAATTATGAATACAATTCAGTTGAATGCTTTAATAATGGCTCCATGTTGAACAAACCTAACACATTCTAATTTTAATTACAGCATAATAACCTTTCACAATGCCAGCTATCAAGCTAAAGAAGGCGACCCAAGAATATTTGGCAGAAAAAGAGAGGGAGAAAGAGGCTAAGGCTGCGGCCAGTTTAGCTGCTGCAGCACCACCACCACCACCACCAGTTGAGGAGCCACCAGCACCCAAAGCTGTTAAACCAAAGGCCAAGTTCCTTGAGGCAGAGGTCTTGTTTGAGAAGCGCAAACGTACTATCCCACCTGCAGAGCTTAGGGCAGGGACATGGTGGGTTAATAGGCAGTTTCTAGCTTTTCTACAATTTCAACAAAATGACTGGTTCTGTATATATACGTATTTCATTAGGATATTTATATGGTTTAAATAAGCATACATAAAATTTCTTGGTCTATCTTTGGTTAATTTACAAAAACGATGATAAGATTAAGAGAGAGAAAAATTATTATGTATTAAGGACAATATCATCAGTCTTTATGAGATGTAATCAATTTTAAAGTGGAAGACACTTCAAACGAGTTGACCCTATCCCAGAGATTTATGTTATTATTTAAGGACAACAACTGTATAATCATCCATTGTATGTTCTACCAGGCTAGACGACAACCTGGAGGTGAAGGAGGGCATTAATGTTTCACTGGTGGCTCTGTATGACTACTACACAGAAACATGTGTACTGGAGGAGGGCAAGGTGGTGGACGTCCCAGTGTTTAACCGGGTACGTACAGTTTAACAGGGCTAGACAATAAGGGTAGCCTGATAGTCCGAGAATAGTGGAATCTCCAGCTGGACTATTACTTCTAAAAACCGCTAGATGGACTTAGTCAAAATTTCATATTGCCAATCTTGTTGAATGATGTTGGGTTAGTGGAATGTGCACATGGACCTGTAAAAATTGGAAACTATTACACCGATTGGTATTCAAATTAATTTCTAGCCCTGTGTAGTACAAAGCAAACTAGATAGATTGCATCCTCGATACTCCAGGAGTTATGCTCACTTGCACTTTCTTTTGATGTACATCTAAAGATCATACTGATCTTTTTGTCTCATTCACAAGGTGGTGCATACTGAGCCTTCAGTTTTGCTTTGACATATTCCAGGGTTGCAGAGCGTGTACTTGAGCGTAATCCCAGAGGTATAGAGGATGGGTAGATTGATAAAGTGTTACACTGGGCAAAGTGGTTGATATACTAGTGTTGAACTGTAAATAAGTACTGTACTGGGTAAAACTTGTTTGGGACAGCATTTTTTGAGGGGAATGGGAGATACATTTCTCAACTTGGAACTATTTGTCTGGTACTGTCTTTTCACAAACACCAAGACCTGGACTTACAACCAGTAAAAAACCTGACAGTATGGTGTAAAGGACAATCTAATTAAAATACAGCTCCTCATTATTCTATCGTTCTTCTAAACAATAGTATAATGAAGAGCTGTATTTTAATCAGATTGTTGTAAACAAGTTGCTTTAATTTCTTGCTTAAGGTTTAGAAATGTGAAAAAAATTAGATACATTTTCTGTACTGATATCATAGTTTGCATTCTAATGTTAACAATTTTTAATAAATCTGTATGTTTTCAATTTTCAGTTGGTAAAAGATAAATTTGGTAAGGACTATGGCATAAAGGAAGATTCTGCATTAAAAGGACTGGTGAAAGATCGAAAACACTCTGATAAAAAACCAAAGGTGCAAGCTGAATCTCTCAACCTCAAGATGAAGGACATTTTGGAGGAGATAATCAATGAAGCTAAGAACCCAGTATCCTTGTATATTAAACACCATTGTGGAAAAACAATGATTTCTTTTAAAGTAGAAATTTGAGTCCTGTCAGAAGTAACATAACGAGATACACCACTGTGGACCTGGGGTAGTATTTGGTTGATAAAGTCATGCTGAATTGGACAGAGAGCAGTGTACTACAACAGTATAATGGTCTTATTCGAATAGTATGCGTTTATATTATATATTACACTAGTGTAATATCAGGAATTATCCATTTAATAAAAACCTTTATCTTCACCCCTGCAGTGATGATATACAAAAGGTTAAATCTTCACATGTGAAGATATTGTGTTTAGTACTGTCCAATCTTTGTTTGCACTGCATAGGTTTTCAGTTTTAAGTCCAGATGAAGCAACGGCACAATAATTGGCTGTTTTGGTACATATTTGCAACAAACAGTATGGCATTTACATCAAATACACGATTGATATCATTTTTGTTAAGAAATCTTACCAGATAATAGCAGCAATTAAACGGCATAATTGCATTTAGTAACCAATTCAAAAAGGCGCTCTGCCTTGTTGTCAAGTGTGACGTCACTAGAACTTGGCATCAAATATTAAGCTACTTATTCCTGCACTTTTAATTTTATTCAGTGTTGTATGTTGAATGTTAAGGATATAATAGAAGAAATTGCTTTGTATGAAGCCTCTATGATATCAGGGTTTTTGCAAGCTATTTTGAGAAAAGGCCCCTGAGCAGGAATTGGGGAAAATATCATCGACACTTGGAAAAAAATTGGAAATACATCAGTGTTCCCACATGTACAGGTTTGGGAAAATATCATAAGTTTTGAAAAACCTGCAATGTGATTAGCAGTTTTCCTATAGCTGTTTCTTATAATAAATGTAAAGCAATTAATGAACACATTAATTTTCAGTGATTTAGTTTATTCAATTTCAATTTTTCATTATTTATGTATTTTGAAGGCTCCTTTATGGATGGTAATACTTTGAATGTTGCCCATATAACGCCTGGAAACTGATATCAACATGCTTTTTAATCATCGACTTTACATGTGAATCAAATCTATATCGGTTGTATACCAGGTATGTCAGTGTCTTCAGTGATTGTGTCAATGTGTTGCTTCACAATATACATTGATTGTATAACCCTTAAGTCTGTTTTGGAAAACTTTTGATACTTATAAATTTTATTCCAAATGATACTTTTTCTTTAACCTATCAAAGAACAGGGGTTTACGGTTTCAAACATTAAAGAAGAACATCAGTGCAAAGTATCCAGCCCTCCAACTAGACATGAAACCACAGAAATTGTTATCTGCTCTCAACAGGGGCCTTTCGTATGGGCACCTTGAACTGGTAAGTTCCACCTTTCGAATATCATTCATTATCTAAAAATCAAGACAACAGCACTTTCAATGGATGATTTTATGGCTCATTCAAAAGATGTATTTACGCTTTCAATAGACGATGGGTTGAGACACTTCAAATATGTCTTGTCTAAAAGTTTTTTTATGACTTGCACATAGTCAACGTATTATATTCTATGTACAAAAACCAATTTGACTGATAATTGATATTGCAGTAGCTGTCTTGAATTTTGTAGAACATAAAAAGTTAATGATACTTTCTATTTAATAATATTAATATAAATGAATGAAGTGTTATTGCGTACAATAATTAATATAGAAATTATTGAAGGCAGTTGAACTTACTTTTCAGTTTAATAAGAATTATTAAATTAAAACCAGTAAGGGATGATTACTTACCTCTTTTCTGTGTTTTTTAAAGATTTTAAGAAAGAGTTCATATATCATTTTTGTTTTCCCAGGTAAGGGGTACAGGTAAATGTGGATTCTATAGGCTACCAGGTGAAAGCACAGCAGAGGAAGACATGAAGAAAGAAACAAAAGAAAAGGAAAAAAAGCAAAAGAAAGACAAAACGGACAAAGAAAATGATGGCACAGCAGTAAGTGTTGATTTATTACGGGTAGTTTAGCAGTGGTGACCTCCTGTCAGTAATCACATACTTTTTTGTGTACTTTCTTCAGCACCAGCTTACAGTATCGGTTTCCCTGCACCACAACTGATATTAGGAATAACATAGAGCATGAAAATGTAAACATGATGTTTGAATTGGGGGTGCAACAAAAGGCAACCACTTGTAGGCAAATAGTTTGGATATGTATGTAAACCAAATGTGTGATAAATATTTAAATGGCTTTGTCTATATTATCAATCAGTTCTGAAATTATAATCTCTAACTTCTAAGTAACTGAGGAATTTGGAAATAATGAAATTCTGTAAACTCACAGACATGAACCCTTTGGTTCTTGTGATGACAAAATAAAGTCATATTTGCTGGGTTTTTTTTTCTAGGCTGAAGGTGAGGAAGACAAAGGAGATGATGTACCAGAAAAGGAACCAGAGAAGGAACATAAGTCTAAGAAAGGCAGGAAGAGGAAGAGGAAATCTGAGGAGTCCGAGGCAAAAGAGGATGGAGAGAAAAAAGAAGAAGAGGCAAAAGAAGAAGAGGCAAAAGAAGCAAAAGAGGCAAAAGAGGGAGAGGCAAAAGAGGGAGAGGATGGAGAGGCACCCAAGAAAAAAACAAGGAAATCGAAGAAAAATAAAGATAAAAAAAAGAAAAACTCTAAAAGTAAGTTGTCACATGAATAAGAAGTAATACCAGATTGACATTGAGTTTCATTCACAAATGCTTTTATTAGCGTTTGCAAAAATTAAGAGGAAACAGGTAATGGGAGAATATTTTTAGATCTGTGTTGATTCTGTCTGTACTGAACATGTACACAGTTCCCTGACTAAATGGTACTTCAGAATCATAGTTTGATAATGAAGAACTGAGGTATTATGGATAATACAAATGTTAGGTTGCCTCTGTATAAAGGTAGATAGAATATGCTGGTTTTCCTTCAAATTATTTTTCCAACTTACCAGCATTTGAAATGCTTATTTTCTGTCTTACTTCACATCTTTTCCTTTTTCTCATACCTTTTTTTAGAAAGTGCATGGCGAGGAACTGCATCTATGCACAGTGATCCCCAGTCAGTGTCAGATACATTCTCCTTGGCCATTACCTACATGAGTGATCCCAAGGACGCCTCTATCACTAAGATCAAGAAGTACATAGCGGATCACTACCCAGATTCCAATATGGATACCAAGTTAGTAGCATCCTGTTTGCATTGGTTGGGATACATATTTCCAAGTTTTCATTTTGAAATCTCACTGTGACAGGAATCCAAAATCCTTCCAACCCACCAACTTAAGCTCTTAAACTGCATGATCAAGCGAGACTCTACTAAATTTAAGTTAAGATACTGTTAAATCTCATAGGTTGTTGGGGCCATAAAAATACTTTCAAAATAAACAACGTATTCAAGACACCCGAGTTGAAATTTTACCTTCTGAGAAAAATGATACAGAACCAAAATATGACTTCATGATAAACAATGTTTTCAAGAGAATTAAAAACAACAACTTTGTAATGACAAACTTTCTGATGCAAGTTCATCCTCTATACTCCAGAGGTATGCTCAATTTCGCTCTCTGCACCCCTGGAATATGTCATAGCAAAATTGAAGGCTTGGTGTGCGCCACCTTGTTGATGAGACAAGAAGACTAGTTTGATCCTTTGATGTACGTCAAAAGAAACTTGCGATCACGTAACGATAAACATTGTTTGACTTTAAAGTTGGGTGTTGCTCCTTTTTAATTTTTAAAGGACAGGTATCATCCTAGTGATTGGTAAGGTTTTTTTACCAGCGGCCATTCAAACAGCTGTCTTTCTGCCTTTTAAATTTGCAATGACATATTCCAGGGGTGCAGAGTGCGAAAGTGAGCGTAACCCCTGGAGTATCGCGAATGATGCAAGTTAGGCCTTACATGTACTTGATTGCCTGTGTTTGTGATCACAATGTTATGTCAAAGTGACACCTGATTTGTTGGTAAATTTATTCATATATATGTATAATTATCATCCCTAAGCTGTGAAAATGTCTAGTTCATTAGTTATGAGTTTAACACTCCAGACATTTATGCGATGATTAAAGATTGTGTCATATTTACCATACTTTTACGGATTCTTGCCTAAACTCAACGTAAGGTCATAGGTCAAATACAGTTTAAGGAAAATAATATTCACACACAAGTTGATTTTCACAAAAGGTTACAACATATTGTGTTAATTGTCCTACAACTATTTTTTTTGTTTAAGAAATGTGTAAAAGTTGAATGTAAACCATTCATTATTAAAGAAGGAATTCTTATGTATAGTACACAACTCTATTGATTGATGTTACAATATAATGCTACTTTATTCGGGTATTCCGTTCAATAAAGTTATAAGCTGGTGTCTGATGCAATTGATCATAAGTCAGTTGACTTCTTCAAATCACAAACCAATTCTCGATTATGATTTAAAACTAATTGCCCATAACTCATTGTTACATCTGTAGTAATCCATGACCACAATATGAAAAACATAACAAAAATATGCAGCTAATATTTCGAGAAGCAGAGTACAAGTGCATGCATACCTTCATGTCAGTAATGATATAAACTTTATTTAATTTACAACAATTATGAAGCAAGTTATTTCAACTTATATTAACCACTCTTGTTGGCAAGGATGTTAGCGTGTGGGGTCTTCATGTGGGAGGAAACCAGAGTACCCGGAGAAAACCCAACATGGTTGGGCAGGTGACCCTATACCTTTTCACGTCCGTCCACCTTGGTGAAAGACAAGTGTGCTATCCACTGTGCCACCCGACCACCCAATTGTGTCAGTAGCTCTCATTTACATCTCTTTTATTATAGATTAAAGAAGGCATTGGAAAAGGGAGCGGAGAAAGGAATATGGGAACAGGTGTCTGGGAGTGGTGGTACAGGAAAGTTCAGGCTGCTGGCCGAGGACTTCAATCCCAGCGAAGGTAAATTGGTTCAACATTAACAAAATACTTGGAGGTTATCTCCCTTGTTGTGTTCACACAATTTAACTTTCATATATACATACATCAATAACAAATCAGGCAATGTATATTTGAATTAAGAAGAACCATTTTATACACAATTGTGATAAACTGAAAATATACAACGTATTAAACAGGATACCGGTTGCTATTACTGGAGTCTTTTCATATTTATACTGGTGTATCATTTTTCGAGGAACTAATTTCAAATGACAAAGAATTTAGTCACATATTATTTAGAATGTATCAATGTTTGTTACAGCCAAATCTATGGAAGACATGGTATGTCAAGCAATTGTAGCATGTCACGAACCCAAGCAAGCGTCTGCTGGCCTCATCAAGAAATACATCATAGAGTACCACCCGGAATTTGGCATTGATAACAAACCACACTTGTACAAAGGCGCACTGAAGAGGGCATGTTTAAACAAAAAGATAAAGTGAGTTCAAAAGCTTTTTGAACAAATGTTTAAATCATTAGTTTTCAGGTTTTGGTAAAGCATTAAATCCTAGCCAGGTGTTACTTTGGTCATGTGTAGCAGTTTATAACAAACTATGACAATTTTAATGGAACATTCGTGATACAAAAAAACCTTATATGACACCTCTCATTACATTTGCCACCTCACTTACTGCAAACATGTTTTAATTTAGAAGTGTCCTTTTTCTGTTCTTTAATGATCCTTTTGTATATGTCTCTTCATACATTGCACAAAGTTTTTTATAAAGCCAAACATTTGTCCAGGCAAATGATTACAGCATATTGAGGTTTAGTGTCAGTGTTACTGTGGTCTGTACTGTAACATCATATAAACATACATATTCTCTACTGTGATGAATATGCAATGCCTTCAAGTTTAATTATCTTGAAATATAGCAATGTTGATAACACATAGCTATCGAGATACAACGGTTTCACAGGTATGTCTATAGCTATATTTTATTTCCTTAGCCTTAACTAATAACTTTTTCTCATAACTAGATCCTCATACTCCTGTTGTATCAAATTGTAGTGATGTATATAAAAGGAAAATAAATAATAGCTTTGTAGATACTATATTTCAATAGTGATACCACATAGCTATGAAGATATACCTAAAAGCTGTAGAAAAACTACATAGCTATAAAAATACCACATAACTATGGAGATACCTTATAGCTGTAGATACCACATAGCTATAAAAATACCACATAGCTATAGAGATACCACATAGCTGTAAAAATACCACACAGCTATGGAGATACCTTATAGCTATAGAGATACCACATAGTTATAAAAATACCACACAGCTATAGAGATACCACATAGCTGTAAAAATACCACACAGCTATGGAGATACCACACAGCTATATAAATATCACATAGCTATAAAAAATACCACATAGCTATAAAGATACCACACAGCTATATAAATACCACATAGCTATAAAAATACCACATAGCTTTGGAGATACTTTATAGCTACCACATAGCTATAAAAATACCACATATCTATAAAAATACGACAAAGCTATGGAGATACCTTATAGCTGTAGATACCACATAGCTATAAAAATACCACACAGCTATATAAATACCACATAGCTATAAAAATACCACATAGCTTTGGAGATATTTTATAGCTACCACATAGCTATAAAAATACCACAAAGCTATTGAGATACCTTATAGCTGTAGAGATACCACATAGCTATAAAAATACCACAAAGCTATGGAGATACCTTATAGCTGTAGAGATACCACATAGCTATAAAAATCCCACATAGCTATGGAGATACCTTATAGCTGTAGATACCACATAGCTATAAAAATACCACACAGCTATGGAGATACCTTATAGCTGTAGATACCACATAGCTATAAAAATACCACACAGCTATGGAGATACCTTATAGCTGTAGATACCACATAGCTATAAAAATACCAAACAGCTATGGAGATACTTTATAGCTATAGAGGTACCACATAGCTATAAAAATACCACATAGCTATGGAGATACCTTATAGCTATGGAGATATACCTAAAAGCTGTAGAAAAACTACATAGCTATAAAAATACCACATAGCTTTGGAGATACTTTATCTATTTAGAGATACCACAAAGCTATACAAATACCACAGCTATACAAATACCACATAGCTTTGGAGATACTTTATAGCTTTAGAGATACCACATACGGTAGCTATAAAAATATCACATAATTATGGAGATACCTTATAGCTGTAGATACCACATAGCTATAAAAAATACCACATAGCTATAAAAATACCACATAGCTAACCACATAGTTATAAAAATACCACATAGCTATGGAGATACCTTATAGCTATAGAGATACCACATAGCTTTAAAAATACCACATAGCTATAAAAATACCACATAGCTTTGGAGATACTTTATAGCTTTAGAGATACCACATACGGTAGCTATAAAAATATCACATAATTATGGAGATACCTTATAGCTGTAGATACCACATAGCTATAAAAATACCACATAGCTATGGAGATACCACATAGCTATAAAAATACCACATAGCTATAAAAATACCACATAGCTACGGAAATATCTGGCTATTGGAATACCATACAGCTATGGAGATACCTGTGAAACAATGGCTCGTTACGTATACCAGGTGTGTGTATTCTTAAATATGCCTTGATCGGATCTCCACTTTGATAACAACTTATAAATCTTAACTTATAATTCTCATAACTAGTTCCCCATGTGTCTGTAGAAGTAAATTTCACTGATAATTTAAAAGTTGTCATTCACTGTGCATATTTAAAATGGAATGAAATTTGTAATTTCAGACAATTGTCAGGAATTGGAGCATCAGGATCGTTTCAGCTGGTGAGTTCGTTTTACCCCTCACCAGCCATTTTAGCTGGCGATGCTGACGCAGAGGCGGAGGAAGCAGCAGTGGAAAGAGAAGATGATAATGAGGAAGTTTACCAAGAAATGTACGTCGTCCGTAAAACCAAGTCTGGGCGCGGAGGGATCCCAGTTACTGTTCTTGCGAAAAAGCAAAGAAGGCGCTGACATCATCACTCATCAGAATGGAATTTCCATCGACTCATTGTTGTCATTCTTTCCCAATTTTGAAGTCATCTTAATATTGTATAAAACTCATAAGAGATGTTTGACAATTACTTCATATACATATGGCAAGCAATGAAAGCATTATTTTGTCAACCTAATTGTTATATTCGTATATTATATGTTAAGTATATTATCAGGTTTTCATTTTTACTGTTTTTGTTTTGCATACCATGCTATACAATTGTATTTGAAAATGCCAAACTTTTAATTATTTTGTTGTAAGAAATGGAAAAAAAATCTGCTTTTATAATGAAGTTTTATAGTTTGGATATGTTTTACAAATATTCTAAAATAGGCAAACTTTTTCTTAATTGTATATCAACATGGTTGATTTGATCTATTTTCCTCTTAATTGTTTTAGCCAAGAAAGGCATACCATAATTATTTCTTGTTCACAGCCTTTGCCATATCCTTGTAGGTTATTTTAACTTCGTTTTAATGATCAATATGGGAATTAATTTTACAGTATTACCTTCTAAGAAATTGAGTTATTAGTTCATATTTTTAATGTTTTGTAAATAGATTGTCTTTTTAAGTTTTACGAGGCCAGGACACATGTTTTCTTAAGAATATTAAAATCTGTTCCATTTCCTTGGTAAGAATGAACTGAAGGACTTTTGATCATGTATATTTCAGTAGAAATTTGTATGCTGATAATGACAATGATGTGATTCTGATCGTGAAAGATTAATTTTTTAAAGTTTAAGCACAGTATGATAAATTTTACGAATATTTATTGTACTAAACAAAAGATACTTTGAATTCTCTATCAACTTGTTGTTCCTTTTATGATGTTAAAGTTATAAGATTAAATGCTAGCCATATTTTCCGTAGTAGATATACTTTCCAAATCTATGTTGCATTTAGTAATTGAAATATAATTTGATAAAGTTTTGGTATTCTCTGATATGTACTTCAAGTATATTGTGAGCTGTTTTATTTCCATTCGTGGTGCTAAGAAAATGCTGGCAGATGTTCCAAAGATCACAATTGGATTTTGGTTGGTTAAATTGATCCTAAATGTTAACCAAACATGTTTCAGGGTACTGTATAGCGATATATATCTTGGAAGTGTTTACGTCTTACAGCATTTTGATCAGAATTAGTGAACTAATGGGCCATTTAAATAGTCTACCAATGATCTGTCACATTGTTAAGGGCTATTCCATTATTAATTTATGGGGTAGATCAGGTGGGAGGCTCCAGTTTTACATGAAATATATTATGGGTGGTGGGGTTAAAACCAGATCTGTCTACCATTCATTAGATTAAAATGCATTTAAGATTTTATGGGTGGTGAAAAAGTGCCTCCCAACCCTCCCCTATGGTTAATTCTGAAATAGCCCTAACTTTATCCTGACAAAAAAATATTTGCGATTTGCAAATTAATGTTATTAAATATTAATTAAGTGATCTTGTTATAAAGCCAGAAGGTGTAGTTTGGGGCTTAAGTAGGCCCAAGAATAAAAAAAATGTAGGTAACAGGGGTCACAAAAAGCGGTTTTCTTGGTTGTTATACATAAATATAGCACCAAATCATGATGCCTGCATTAAACTTGAAAATCATATCTGTAGCAGGGAGATTAGAATGTGTTTATACATTAAGTACCAGTATGTGTATATTTGACTTTAATACCATCAAGCAAAGAATTATCTGAAAGATGTACATGTGAAGTGAGAATATATTAGCAGAGCATCACCAGTGTTGTAAACACCTACGGAAGGGCATTAGGGAATGTGTATGATTGCCGTATTGAGACCTGAAGTAATAATCATTAAGTTTCATTTTCTATAGATTTTTGCTATTAACCATCTACTACTACAAATTAAACCAACTCCAAAAACCTTTTTGTCAACATTTTTAAGTCATGATATTGTTAACTTTATGTTTATTTTTATTTCAAAATATGCCAAAATTGTATCATGAATTGTGTCAAAATTGTACCATTATGAAGGGGAAAGACAAAACGTTAAAATAGGTGGGCAATATTTTTTTCAACTTTTGAAGAACAAATTATTTCAATGACTCCTGAATGAAAACATGGTATCCTCATTGTTGCTTGGCCATCCTACAAATAGCTGTTTTGTTGTAGTGATATGGAGACATTCTTGATATATATATAATTTTGATGTTTAATGAGTATTCAATTTGATGCAGGTCATTTATTTTTATTCATCTATCTTTATACACATTTAGCTGTTCGACTGCCAGTTTTTAGTGTTTTGACTATGTGTACGAGGTAGGGTTCATATGTTTTCCATGTAGTTTTAACATTTTTATTTGTACCAGAATCATTGTTCAACCTATCATCAGAAACAAGGACAAGGGAAATCATGTGATGTTTTGTTTAAATTGGAAAGAAGACGGTTGATAATAATTATTAGTTTTTTGTTCCATCAAGGTAACCTGTTAACCAGTGTATGCTTTTATTTCATGATTTTCATGATTTCAGTGTAGTTCACACCATGCTCATTTTCCATCCATGCATTTAAAGCACAGGGGCTAGGCAAAGCGGTATGATGGTTGCAAGAATTATTTGATACCAAGAAACTTTTGCCCTTCACTGGTAAAATCCATATTTTCCAAGTTTTAATTTCGCTCTCACATTTGATTACTATGTATATGATGTTGATTTCTAAAATTTGCTTTTATGATGATTTCGCTCTCATTAAGAAAGACACAAGTTAAATTACAGCGAATATTCCCTGGTATATATTATACAAATGTATAAATTATTCTTGCAACCGTCACATCAAGTTGTCTGGCCCCTGTGATCCTAAGACAGTATAGAGGGAGCTATACGATTAAAACGGAAAGGCAGCAGCAGAGATATATAAGAATTGTGTTCATTATACATTATACCTATTCACTAATTGTATTGTCAGTAAATGGTGTTGTATTATGTGGTAGAATCTTCCATTATTTGCTAAATTCTCAAGATCTTTTTTTTGTTTTTGATGAAGAGACACAAGTAATATTATTACATGTACATGTATTTTGAATGTATATATGAGAATGGAGATATCTTTTGGAGGGATTTTAGTTGTTTTGTTTATAAACAATGAAGATTCATCTTCTCAAATTGATGTAGAAATATTTGAAACTTTCTGTCAGATTCAGTATTCCTATTTTCATTGAAATGTTTTAATATGTGTTTCATCTTTCAGATTCAAAACAATTTACACTTACCATCATTGTGCACTGAATAATGTCATTCACAGCGAATTGACTATTGACAGATTTAAAAAAAAATGTTTTTGGACAAAATGTCTGTGTGGGTGAATAAAAGTATTGCTGTCAGCAAAATCTGAAATTGGCAAGTATCTAAATTGTATCTTGGGTAATATTTTTTGCAGTTCCTATCTGCTATACCGTGGGGAAATACAAAGTAGTGTTGGTTGGTCTTTGGTGAATGTAAAACTTGTCACTGCTTCATACTATATTGAAAAAGATATCAATAACACCAATAACATTTTTTTTTCCGGGGTGGTTTGAAGGATTGAAGAACTGGAAGTAGGCCCCAGACATTTTGATTGACTTGTGACTGTTACCTGGTCACATTATAGGGAATATGTGTACAAATCATGCATGCTGATGATTTCTGTGTGAGCTTTTTGTGTTTTGTTGCAGTATTACCTACATTTAATGTTAGTGGACTGATTAGCGGTATAAACATTTGTACACGGCCAATCTAGCTGTATAGACCTGGCCGTCTAGTATAAACATGTCATAGTTAACGGCAATAAAATAACGTGACATTCACCTCGTCTTCTTTTCATTTGTAATATACTTGTTTAGAGAAATTAACAGGTTATACTGTAAAAGTGGACATTTTCGCGTGTGGAAATGTTTACGTTCGGACCCTTTAAACTGAATGTGGCGTGGAATTTTTCCATCATTTTAGAGGCTTGGATCGATGCTCAATGAAAATAAATATCCAAACCAACTGTGTTTATATAAGGTTTGGGAAGATCAATTGTAGAATTGTATTTAACATTTTCACTACAAAAAAGATCCTCATTATCATGCTAACATGTTGCATGGATCAGCGAACCAAGAATGGGCAGTTTTACTACTTCAACCTTTCATATTGCTGTGACAAAAGAAAATAAACAACCCATATCCCTTATGTCAATTAACTTCAGTTATTTATATATTTAAATCATGTCATTTTTATCGGTGATGTTAAAGCTAAATTGTGAAGTGCTTTGAATTTTCTAGTTTTGTCAGGTAGTGACCTATGCCATTGAAATGCTAAATTATGCTATGCTTCGGATGCTGCTTCTGACCTACATTTTCCGCTTGACTGACAGGTTAAGAAGATTGGTTGAGGCCGGTTACTAAGTAACTACTTGTTGTACATCAACTATAAACTTGCATGGCTTATGTATCTTAAGTATGCTCATCACATGCCATGCGTCAGATGCTGGTTCGGACCTTCATTTTTACGCTTGACTGTCCAGGTTAATAAGATTGGTTAAGGTCAGGCCCAATCTGTACTTTGGTTAAGAAGATTGGTATAGGTCAGTTACTAAGTAAATAGTTGTTGTACATCAACTAAACTTGCATGGCTTATGTATCTAAGGATGCTTATCACATGCCATGCTTTGGATGCTGGTTCCTACCTACATTTTCCTCTTCAGTGACCAGTTCAAGAAGATTGCTTAAGGTCAATTACTAAGTAACTACTTGTACATACTAAACTTGCATGACTTATGTATCTTCAAGGATGCTTCATCACATGTGATGCTTTACATGAAAATGTACTGTAGCAATCTGACCATATCACCATTGGCGGTTTCTTGTTAGGGGAGATAACTTAATATCAAGGTACCCTGTATCCCTAATGGTAGTTTATTCTTACAAGACATTTCACAAACTAACATTGTTCTAACATAGTGGACCAATTCAGTACCTGAATGAATTAGGCGAGTTTATGACCAAGTCAGACATGTTTTAAAACTATGAGAGGATATTATTACTTTGACAGTACATGTATATAGGCCACCATACTGCAGGATAATGCAGTGCAAGGGGAGGTAATTATCACGGAAGGAGAATGTTTACAGCTCTGTCTGATCGTCTATCACAGTGTAAATGAACATGGTGTCCTATTGGCTAAACTGTTCAAGCACAGAAATCAAAACTAAGACACATGAATATATATTTCTTATAAAATAAAGCAAATGTTTATTTTAATGCAGATACAATCTAATTTTAACATCTCATTGTACAATATAAATCCTATTTCATTTTCATTTAATAAATGTACAGCAATGCTGGATGTGAATATAATGACAGCAATAAAACAGCTTTTTTAAATGGTATAAAATGAACAGCAGCATAACATTTTGAAGTTTATGAAGAGGAAACAATTTTTGCTGAAATTTCTAATAAAATCCAAAACATTTCTAGATGTTTTCTCAATGATGTAATTATGAGTCAGAAAAAACAGAAGTTGCCAGTACTGTTTGCCACAAGTACTGAAATAACTTTAACAAAGAAATTACAATGAAATAAAATAGGACTTTTGGCCCATTTCTTTTTCGCCCTTAATTATAAGCAAACAGGCTGACTTAATAGGGATAATCCTTAAATCTGCAAGAAGCAAGCAGCAGAAAGTGAATTAATCTCAAATAGAAATGAATTTAAAATTGCATTCATCAGGAAAGTGAATTCATCACCGGGAGATTACATGTTTCATTAAAGATGCATGAAAAAATCTTCAGATAAAAAAAATAGTTTTAAAGTACCAGTCACTCTTTCACAGCTTCTCTTTACTTCTTTACACTGGGAAAAATACTAATGTATTCGCCGTAATTAATGCCCCTCCCCCTGTAAACGCCCCTCCTGCTTTTACAGGAGGATTGACATCATATAAAACCCCTCCACCTCCCAAACCTGTTCAGGCCAATGCAATCAATGATTTACAGTACTTACACTAGTGATCATGGCTGGTTTTCCCGTGAAGAAAATAAATATTTGATATCCAAACCTCAAGCCAACTCACATTTTACTATCCTAAGAAGTGGCCCCCATTTAAAATATTTTTGAAGCACCGTGGCTGGGTGCTAATTATTGCAAATACAGTATGTAGTTTCAAACATTTACAACTTCTCCATGTGATTTTTTTGTGAATTTTTCTTTCACTAGATCACAGATGTATTGCAAGGGTCCGGATAAATAGATTTTATGTCCATATGGGCTAGTGAAACTATGAAAACAAAGCATGCAGGCTAGTACTCCAAATATGATAATTTTGTATTTATATATATATATTGCGTTGAATTGGACATGGACAAGCAACCTTTTCATTGAAGACTGCAGGTAAAGTAAAGATGCAGTTCTGAAAGACATGATTCTAACATTTGTAGCCTCAGACCACCATAATTAAACCTTTTCTTACCAGCTAACACATAATCATTTTAGACCTACAGACTTAGCAGGACTGATCTCAGAATAGTCAAACAGCCTAAGACTGGAGTCAAAATTTCAAATGTGAATAAAATTACCATTTGTAGTGAAACTAAATCTAAGCTTCGTGAAAAAAACACCAATGTCAATATGTAAAATACTGAATGTACACAGATGTAAAATCATGCAAAATTTTATATATTGTACCAAAAATTATATATTAATCAAACAATATTCTAATTTGGACTTAATTTCTTTGACATCATCCCAGTGTTACGTTTATATATGCAGCTTATCAAAAAAGGTAAATAAATATACAGTTTATAAATACTGGTGTCGAACTGACTTCCTAATACACAAAACCACAAATCAGACAAATGTTTTAAGATGTTGGTAAACAAATCATTTTTTTATGAACAGCAGTATAGTCAGAAAGAACAGCTGTATACTTACAGCATGAGCAATAGTTAGTACAGCATAAACAGCAGTAACATTACAGCATACAATACTGAATCATTTGTTGCAGTTACGGACAAGATTAAGAGTTCTTTGTAGACAATAACTGATTCTTGCCCCCCCCACCAGCACTACCCTTCGGCAATAACAAATGTTTATCAGTTGAAGCAATATAATCTGGATGTCAATGGCTCTACCTTAATTTGTTTCACCAAAAGATTGATTCTACAATGTTATAAATGGTGAGACTGCTATAATTTACATGCATGCAAGTTATCAATTTTTAAAAGAAAGCCACGTTTAACTCATTCACCCCTGAAATTTTGTAATGAACTATTCCAACCTTTGAATTGGAAGATCTCAAATGTGTCTTTAGGGGTGAATGAGTTAATACTTTTATTCATGGGTTTGTTTTAATTACGCACACACAAACAGTACAGTCTATCAATAATTCATACAACTTCAATAAAATGTATACCCTGTAATCCCATACATCATTTGTACAGTGTAAATTGCATACATCTTTTACCCATATAACACCTAAACAAGATTTACCCAGTGGACACCAAGACATGATTTACCCAGGGTAGATGTTTTATGAGGGGAACATCTGCAGGTGATTTTCTTCGACCTTTCAGGCTGGTATCATATCAAAGAAGGGCAGAAATATTTCCACAAAATAGCTCCATCAGTCGCACGTATCACTAGATAATTGAAATCGGAATAAGAAATTGACATGTGATGGACAGATGAACAATAGATTACACATCAAAAATGTAATTGAAGCTTGCTAAAAAAAAATCACACAAGTAAGTTTCCCCGAATTTATACAGTGATTGCACAATTAATAACAGATATTACTATTTAACAGTAGAGGAAATTTCTTTTCGTGAGCTAAATTAATGGAATTACCTGGTAAATACAGAAAAAACTCTTTAAACTGCCACCAATTGTCCTGGGAAATTTGGACATTAAAATGGGGTTTTGCGATACATTGAGTGAGATGCACACAGTAATTCTTAAGGAAATAAGGATCTGAATGGGTCCATAATGGTCTACAGTGGTGAAAGGTATGGCATACAAGATCAAATACAATCCCATATATTTGAAAACGGGAAAGGCAAGTATAGCATTATAAGCTGTTTTATTATAAGAGTAGAATATTTTGATTTCAGAGAGACAGTTCTGTAATACTGAATTTAAAAGGATGGCTTAATTCAGAACTGTATAATTGCTTTGCAAGAATTACATTAATAAATATAATAATTTTGCATACCTTCCTTTGATAACTCGCTCATCAATCATATTTAGACACTCATCTTTCAAAGCAAATAATCTTCTAAGCAATGTCATACCAACCATGAATGGTAAAATAGCAATTCAAGCACAAATTTAAAAAAAAAATCCAGTTTGACCTGCACTTTCTTTTGTCACATTCATCAATATGATCCATGTCTCCATTATTGTATATAGTTATAGATATACAACACAGGGCTGTAATATAAGATCCTCACTTACAAACTGTATAGTACAGACATATCACAGGGGACTGTCACAATTTATCCTTGATATATTTGTACTTTATAAAGATATACCACAGGGGAATGTCAATATGATCCTTGATACCAAAGGGAATTTTGATATATAGCCCTCAACTCGCTATTGTACAGATATGCCACAGGTAACTGTCAGTCACATTTTATCCTTGATTTCTTTGTAGTATAAAGGTATGCCACAGGTAAATGTCCATATGATCCTCGATACCAAACGGAATTTTAATATATGAGCCCAAACTCACTAAAATAGTGATATACTATGGGGACTGTCACGTTTGTTCCTTGATTCCATTGTAGTATACAGGTTTGACACAGGGGACTGTCACATGATCCTCCACTCCCTATCGCACACAAATAGCCGAGGGGCCTGTAACATATCATCCTCAACTCCCCTATGGTACCACATAAATACAAATTTACATGCAAAAATAAACAATTTGGTCATGAAAGGAGGGAGTCTCCTCTAAATCCACCACTAATGTGAAATTGGTGTGGTCACTCTAATCATTGGCACTAGTCTTTTATTGTTCTGACTCTTTGGAATGTTAAGTCAACTCTAACAACGGGGCGTTGTTCTGCTAATGCTAATGTCTTGGCGCCGCAATTTCTGTCGTTGTTGTCGTCATTTTAGACTACAAGTCATTGTTGCGAATGAACCGGTTCCCTTCAGAATGTCTCCCATAATACACATATTTACTCTTGCCATAAGAACCTGAAAAAACCCATTATGTTAAGCTATTAGTTTGAACTCGGAAACAAATTCTCCTCCAAATAAAACATTTGGATAATACAGTTCAACGCCTATACTTCAAAATGTCATTTATGAGAGCTATTCCACTTTACAAATGCATTTTAAAAACTGTATTGGCTCTTATAATCTATATTTAAATACTGGTATATTAACTGATTACCTCCCCTTAGTGGTGTACGGCTAGAACCTGAACACCAGTCCCAGTGGTGTTGGGTTTGTAAAGGTTTACACTAAACAGTGATCCCAGCAGTGTTCAGTGTGTAAAGGTTTACACTAAACATGGGTCCCAGTGGTGTTCAGTGTGTAAAGGTTTACACTAAACACAGCTACCAGTGGTGTTCAGTTTGTAAAGGTTTACACTGAACACAGCTACCAGTGGTGTTTCGTTTGTTAATATTTACACTAAACACAGCTCCCAGTGGTGTTCAGTGTGTAAAGGTTTACACTAAACACAGCTACCATTGGTTTTCAGTTTGTAAAGGTTTACACTGAACACAGCTACCCGTGGTGTTCAGTGTGTAAAGGTTTATACTGAACACAGCTACCAGTGGTGTTCAGTTTGTAAACGTTTACACTGAACACAGCTATCAGTGGTGTTCAGTTTGTAATGGTTTACACTAAACATGGGTCCCAGGGGTGTTCAGTTTATAAAGGTTTACACTAATCACTGCTCCCAGTGGTGTTCAGTTTTTAAACGTTTACACTGAACACAGCTATCAGTGGTGTTCAGTTTGTAATGGTTTACACTAAACATGGGTCCCAGGGGTGTTCAGTTTATAAAGGTTTACACTAATCACTGCTCGCAGTGGTGTTCAGTTTGTAAACGTTTACACTGAACACAGCTATCAGTGGTGTTCAGTTTGTAATGGTTTACACTAAACATGGGTCCCAGTGGTGTTCAGTTTATAAAGGTTTACACTAATCATTGCTCCCAGTGGTGTTCAGTTTGTAAACGTTTACACTGAACACAGCTATCAGTGGTGTTCAGTTTGTAATGGTTTACACTAAACATGGGTCCCAGTGGTGTTCAGTTTATAAAGGTTTACACTAATCACTGCTCCCAGTGGTGTTCAGTTTGTAAACGTTTACACTGAACACAGCTATCAGTGGTGTTCAGTTTGTAATGGTTTACTCTTATATCTGGCCCTGTATAACACTTACCTTTGTGGTCGTCGACTTTTCTGTGAGAGTCAGGAAGGGGAGTGTACCCATCAGGATCCTCCTCATCTTTTCCACCTTCTACCATTGTCTCGTCTGTCCCCTTGATAATCTCCATAAACGGGCCAACTCGCTTCGCTTCAGCCAACTCATCAGCTTTTACAGGTGTTGAATCCAGGAATTTCAAATTGTTTAAACGATACAGGACATAAAATCTGTAGATAAATTTTGAAATTTTAAATAAAGAAAAATGAATAAACAATCATTAGGGAAAATAGAATATGGTTTGTATAAATGACATCTTTTTGTATTAACAAGTCACCCCTGAAATTTCATAATGAACCATTCCAACCTTTGAATTGGAAGAGTTCAAATGTGTCTTCAGGGGTGAATTAGTTAAACTACATATGATTATTGGTCAAAAACCAATGGTAATTGCCCAATTGCGTTTTTTAGTAACCAAACTCTAAACAACCTTTATAAAGGTAAAGGATAAATTGGGCAATATCAAGATCAATATTTCTCATAAGGTTTGGGGTACATTTTCAACATACTGTTCCATAACTTGAAGAATATAGACTACTGTATCTAATGGGTCTGTAAGCCTTGGAGTAAGTGCATTTCAGCATATTTTTTAAGTTTACACACTAGCTTACCTAAGCCCGAGTCTCCTCTGGCCCTGACACCAGACTTAGACATTTAGACAGATAGATGTCCCACACCAGACATCTATCTGTCAAAATGTCTAAGTCTGGTGTCAGGGCCAGAGGAAACTCGGGCTAAGCTTATCTGAGCCTCAAAGAAGCACTTCATCTGAGAGAAATCAGTTTGCTGATAGCTTCAGAGTTTTTCTTACCTGTATCTTCTATAGTCTTCTTCATCCTTCTCATGGTCAGATAACTGGTTTGGACATGCAATGTTTCCAAGGAGACTGAGGTATCTCAGAGCAGGAAGGTTGGAGGCAAGATTTTCAAGTAAACTATTTAAATTACTAATCTGATGAAAGTATTAAGGAAACAGTTTCTTTGATAAATAGTTATTACTAGTATAAATGTTTATCTCATATCACTTACACTAGCACTTGTACATCAAATACACTTTTACCTGAGGTGTTTTTAACAGGTGTCTTTTAGGTTCAGGTTCTTGCAATTTAAATGAAGACAATTTTCATCCATCAATCCTTTTTCTGTTTGAGAAAATGTAAAATATATGTCATGCATCATGTCTCATTTCCAATCCGTTTGTTATACTAGATAAAAGTTCTGCATGAAAAACTTATTTTAGAAGAACAAATTTTCTGAAAAAAATATTGGTTGCAAAACATCCACATGTCATACGTGTCATGATTACAAGCCTGGGTCAACATGATTTGACCCAGGCTGTCCTGGTACAACAGCCCATCAATTCATACAGTGCACATGGAGTGGATACAAACACTCACAGTACCCTCCGCTTACAAACATTTGGCAGAATCTGACAATTGACACTTTTTCTATTTCTATTTTGAAAGGATACTTTATTTTTATTTATTGTGACAGTATGTAAGCTCTCCATCCTTGGAAATTGTAAGTGTTCATCAAAACAATTATTGTCAAGTATTAATTCTTCCAGATTGACAAATTCTTCAACTCCACCCAGAGACCTACAAAAAAACAAACATAAACATTTTTTTCTTTTTTTTTTAAATTTTCTATAATATCAAAGACTTGAACAGTTTAGAACAAAACTTTCAAAATATCTTCTCTGAAAATCTAAACAGTCATGTTACATACGTTTTCTGTACATTCAACTGCTACAGTGGTATTCATTACTTTGAGTCAATATATTTAAACTTTCAAAAAGAAACAAGATCACAGGATTACAAGAACTTTGAGAGATTATAAAGAACAGATGATTTCTAAAGGGGGGAAAAATATAAATAATTGAATAAATGTCACTCTAAATTACAATATTTCGGCCTCTTGGCCTTCTTCAAGGGCGGAAGTCAACAATTGATTAAAGTTAATCCATCTTGCTTCTTCGGAAGGAGAGGCACAGACTTAGATAGCATACCGTAATCTAATTCTGTGATAGAGGTAAACAGTTTGAGAGATTACTTTGTTTATGATCAAATTGTATATGAGTGAAGATCATCAATATTATTAGAATCTGCTTCTGATGGTTAACTTATATATCTTATTGAAAGAAATTTAATATATATATATTTGTAACAGGAAAGAGAATAGTGTTCTCCCAATGAGGATAAAACCCACGATTCCTAGGTGCCTAGTCGAACGCTCTACCCTGAGCTAAAGGGAAATTCCCTCTAGCTCGAAGCTAGAAGTCGACCTTAATCCTATGTACAATTAAATTCAGCCAAATATTTGATGTGTTATTAAAAACACCCCAGTATGCTAATACAATCATAACTGATTTTTAGTTCACAAGAATAAAACAACGATCTTACCGTAGTTGGTTGAAACTCAGATCTAATCTGCGTGTGATGCCAGCGTAATCAGCGATTAGCTTCTGGGGAATTTCCTCTGCATCATGTCCTATGAATGCCAGCTGAAACATTTGATTTTGAAATACACCTGATGCATATGAATTAATTCAGATCTCATGATAAGGAATTAGAACTGTTACAATAGATTATTTGGGGTCTTCTAGGAAAGTCCTATAGCTATTTTAGAGGGAGATTCCTGGGTGGTTTTAAGCTCATTTTTTATTTTGAATTATCAGCAGATTTCTTATTTATTCAGCTAGCTTTTTCCTCAAATTAAATAAAATTATTGCATATTCATTTTAATGCCATGTAATTAATAGCTGTCACTTATATTTTGCCAAATAGAGGTATATTCTAATTGACTGTTTTAACCTTTTTAGATTAATTCAAACACAATTCCTCTCCATCAGGAAGAATTGGAAAGGACGGCAAGTATGTTAAGTGTCATAAAAGGTCAATGACATCTATATGTAATATATAATATCATACCTAACAGTAAATTTACACTAATAATATGAGGAATTTCAAATAAAACCCAATAAATATTGTATATATAGGTCTCCAGAACAATTTTCTTCACTTTAAATGATCAGTTAGTTTTTAAATTTTAGGTAATGAGTGAATTATGTTCATGGTCATTATTGTATTGTATCACCTGACCTGTAAACAGGAAGTTTTTCATTGTATACAAACACATCTGTAGCCTAACGCTAGCATTTAGAATACAGGCTAATATTGTATCTATGTCTCGCATATATATTTCATCGAATTTTTCATAACGGACCATCAGCTTTTTATAAAACGTGTTTAAATCTTTAATGATGACATTAGACTAATACACTCCAGCTAGAGCACAGAATTCTGTGATAAGCGTCTGTATCGAAACTGGGAACAATGGTCTATGTGTACTGCATTACATGCAAACAGAAAGTTGACAAATCTAGTTACTGATACGGTCGAGGTAACGGATATTTGACAAGGCCCATTCGAAACGCAAAAACCCTTTGTTTCACAAAGAGAAGAAGAACACATTGTCTGAAACATTTACCTGACCATCCACGAAGGTCATTTCATCTTCCTCTGCGCCATTTTCCTCTGTTTCTTCAGACCCGTTGGGTTGTTTATCATCCGCTTCGTCCGCCATGTTGTGAATCACGTGATGAAAATGTCTAGTAATATCACGTGGTTATGTCAAAAGTTCTACTTACCATGCTGGTACGACATGCTTCATACAAAACTGAAATGCGTTATATGTGAAGGACATCTACCTCCCTACATCAAATTGATTTTTTTTTTAGAATATTCAAATATGTTCTAAAAAATTAAAAGATTGTCATAAAGATATGGTTAAAAAACCTTCAGAGAACAATCAGAGTATAGGTGCTAATTAGTATTTTAGTAGCCTCTATAGTTTGTATAACATTCTATATGCTATTAAATTAAAACAGTTGGGTGGTACCTAAGGTGAGTTTTCAAAAAGCTGTTCAGGTTAATCACCGTTTTAACGACATTATAAACTTCTAGGATCCTTTTGATATAGAAGATAAAAAATACTTGTACTTTTGCCTGTAACTCGTTTTGGTATTAAATTCATAATCGTAGAAGCTGATATCGATTGTTTTGTTTTCCCGTGAGAACCATTGGATCGTATTGTTTAAGTCAGTATTTATCTGTACCTAATTGTAATTCATACTGATTGACAGGTGGAGAAATCTTGCTTAAAGATAACCAAGTGAAAAGATCGTTTTTAGACAAATATTTTTAGAAGGGTTATTTAGGAGAGTGATCATGACTTTAACAGTGCTTCCTTGAAAATTACAATAAAAAGTTTTGGGTAAAAAAGGCACAAAAAAGGGTAACAAGAAACAAATAATATTTTTAACTCACCATCATGAGATTGTGGCCTATTCAAATCACCCTTCGTCCGTGGTCCGTCCGTGGTCCGTCCGTCCTTGAACATTTCTTGTTAACCGACAGACACTCATCTTGAATTGGAGTTAAGTTTTTCCTCAGCCAGTACTCGAGGGATCTTTCTCAAATTTCAGATGAAGGTACCACATGGTCCTCATCTATGCATATCGAGTTTTGGGACTAATCACAACACCAAGATGGCCGACAGGCAGCCATCTTGAATTTTAGTGGTAGCGTTTGTTAGTGCTGATTTTCAGAAAATACTGGAGGGATCTTTCTCAAATTACATAGGAGGGTTCCCTATTAGGTCCATTGTTATGCAAATCAATTTTGATACTGAATGGATAGCCAAGATGGCAGTCATCTTGAATTTGAATGTTAAATTGTGTAAGCGCTATTTCTCTGGACGGACTGAATGGATCTTTCTTAAATTTCACATGAAAGAGTCATGGTCACTCTTTACAACGCGAGGGTCGCATTCTACAACAGGAGATAAATATTAGGTGTAATTTAGATCACAATCCTAAGCCGGAGGTATACATAATGTATCGGGTAAATATCAGGTATAGGGCTCTATAATAGGAGGGGAGGGTCATTCTACAACGGAGATATACATTAGGAAAAGAATCCCACCTAATCACGTGAGGGACCCCTTCTACAACAGAGAGTATATAGGAAATGTAACACTCTACAACGGGAGACATATCTTTTGCAAATTTGCTCTCCTCTTTTTTTGCACATGCATGAAGATCGAGCTCGTTGTATATGCATGTGACCAAGTGCATTTTCATTGGACGAGAGGTTAGCACGAACTCAGTTTGGTAACGAGGGGTCATTTAGGGTGTGTAGGTATTGGCAGGTACCTCTGCCGATGAAAATTTTATGAAAGATTACTTAGTGAAGAAACATTGAAATGGGTGTCTTTTATACAAGAAATATCAACCGTTTTAGTATCCCTCCTTTTTTCTCCTACATGCAACGTTACAGACTTTTTGTTCCTATACGAACCCCAGCAAAGTTTAGATGCAAAATTTATCTCTTTGTTGCACTCATTACAAAAACCAATCTTTTCTCATTTTTAACTCATTATTTGCTAGACACCATCAGACAGTGTAAATATATTGCATTTAAACCACGGACTTTGATAGCAATTTCTAATATAATTCCGTAATTTAAACAGATATAACCAGGGGTACAAAAAGTTACTAAAATGTGTCTAAATTTATGTTTTTTTTTAGTAAACACTGCATATATTGGAAACCAAAGAAAAATAAATGGTAAAAGTTTAAAAATAATGTCTATAGTAAGGAAAATCGACCGTTTGTCCGCTTCAAAAGGGGGAAATAGGCATAACGGTACATGTACATATACGTGACATTTTCATCTGTGGCCGTTTCACTTGTGATCCGATGGTACGGTAGAACACGTGGCTCCATATACATATTCATATTTAGCATGTTTAACCAATGGACGAAAATCCAGTATACAACGTCCAGCGTAGTAACTGTTTGACATCTAAAATCTGGTTTCATGCATCATGCGAAATTCCTCATGCACTATCAAATAACGTGAACCATTTTGCACAACAAATATGAAATTGTTGAAAAACCTTTGTAACTTTCTGAAATGTTTTATGCAAAAATTTCAGCCTCCGTGCTAACTTACCTATTCCATTGCTGTCTACTGTTTATTATGTTTGTTGCTCGAGTAACGTTTGTATAGATCTGAGTGTTCAATAAAGTTCCGTTCTGTTCTGTTCGTTGTGTGTCACGTGCAAAGCGTCATACCTCATGCGTCATGCTTCATGCGAAAAGCTTCTTGCGTCATGCTTCATGCGAAATGCCTTTTGCTGTATGCACGTGTTTGAGTAACCGCCTTNATTGTAGATATAGAGAGGTAGTATAGTTTACAGACAGGTTGTAGATATAGACATGTGGTAGTTACAGACAGGTGGTAGTTATAGACCGGTGGTAGTTACAGACAGGTGGTAGTTATAGACCGGTGGTAGTTACAGACAGGTGGGAGATATAGACCGGTGGTAGCTAAAGACAGGTGGTAGATATAGACAGGTGGTAGTTATAGACCGGTGGTAGTTACAGACAGGTGGTAGATATAGACCGGTGGTAGCTAAAGACAGGTGGTAGATATAGACCGGTGGTAGATATAGACAGCTGGTAGTTACAGACAGGTGGTAGTAACAGACAGGTGGTAGTTATAGACAGGTGGTAGTTATAGACAGGTGGTAGATATAGACAGCTGGTAGTTACAGACAGGTGGTAGATATAGACATGTGGTAGTTACAGACAGGTGGTAGATATAGACCGGTGGTAGTTAAAGACAGGGGGTAGATATAGACAGGTGGTAGTTATAGACAGGTGGTAGATATAGACAGGTGGTAGTTATAGACCGGTGGTAGTAACAGACAGGTGGTAGTTATAGACAGGTGGTAGATATATACAGCTAGTAGTTACAGACAGGTGGTAGATATAGACAGCTGGTAGATATAGACAGGTGGTAGTTATAGTCCGGTGGTAGTTACAGACAGGTTATAGATATAGAGAGGTGGTATAGTTTACAGATAGGTTGTAGATATAGACATGTGGTAGTTACAGACAGGTGGGAGATATAGACCGGTGGTAGTTAAAGACAGGTGGTAGGTATAGACAGGTGGTAGTTATAGACCGGGGGGAGTTACAGACAGGGGGTAGATATAGACAGCTGGTAGTTATATACCGGTGGTAGTTACAGACAGGTGGTAGATATATACCGGTGGTAGTTATAGACAGGTGGTAGTTATAGACAGGTGGTAGATATAGTCCGGTGGTAGTTACAGACAGGTTATAGATATAGAGAGGTGGTATAGTTTACAGACAGGTTGTAGATATAGACATGTGGTAGTTACAGACAGGTGGTAGTTAATGACCGATGGTAGTTACAGACAGGTGGTAGATATAGACCGGTGGTAGTTAAAGACAGGTGGTAGATATAGACCGGTGGTAGTTAAAGACAGGTGGTAGATATAGACAGGTGGTAGTTATAGACCGGTGGTAGTTACAGACAGGTGGTAGATATAGACAGCTGGTATATATAGACAGCTGGTAGTTACAGACAGGTGGTAGTTATAGACCGGTGGTAGTTACAGACAGGTGGTAGATATAGACAGCTGGTAGTTATAGAACGGTGGTAGTTAAAGACAGGTGGTAGATATAGACAGGTGGTAGTTATAGACCGGTGGTAGTTACAGACAGGTGGTAGATATAGACAGGTGGTAGATATAGACAGCTGGTAGTTACAGACAGGTGGTAGTAACAGACAGGTGGTAGATATATAACGGTGGTAGTTACAGACAGTGTTAGGTTTTAGACAGATATTTAGATAAAAACAACGAAACGCATGAGGGATACTGAGTCGCCATACTTTTAAAAACAGAAAGACGTACATGTACATTTTACGTGATCGGATCACAAATAAAAGTTAAGTGTTTGGTGTCTGTTGTGTCCTGTATCTTGAACAAGAACAATGTATATAGTAATAAAACAAACATTCAGACACGAGAACCGAACCATTGTTTGTTTGATGCTCTTTACATGAATTCCGAGCAGCCGAGTATTTTTACCAAACATGCTTCACATACTGTGTAACTTTTTTAAGGGTAAAGTCTATCTTTTTTATATTTAGTCATTTCATGAAAAAAATCTTAATGCAGGTAACGCTTTACAATAAAACCCACTTATAAGAAACGCATACGATTGTTTTTAGCCAAATTAAAACACTTTGGTTACCACAGGGGACGAACACGTGATGCGTGGAGATAGTATATTTTAATACTACCCATAGACTTACACAAGCTCAATATCTCACGTATCTTCCACTGAGTGTCTACAACAGCGGTAAGCCCGTAAACTATAATGCACTTTGTTGACCCCGGTGTGATTTTAAAGCATGAGAAATAAAAGAAATCCTGCATTCTGAACTTATATACTGAAAAAGAGAGGTGGCGGAGAAGTATTTTTTTCTAGTTCCGCCCATGCGCTTACTGCAAGATAAGTCTGCTGCACTGACACGGCCGGGCTAAGATACTCTGGAATGACAAACAATGCATTTGATGACATCACAATCACAGATGACGTCATAATTTATCACACGTGATTATGCATCGCAACCACGCACATTAAGAAGCGCGCTTGTGATTTTAACGACATTTTCGTGGGAAAATGTCGTTAACGTCTTTCCCTACGCCTGGGAAAGGCAGTTTTGCTAAACGAGATAGAATACCAAACTTAGGACAGCAACATTCACTAGACAGCTCTAGGAAATCAGGAGGTTTGAGTCAGTTGTCCACAAATTCAGACGGGACTCTCACACGCAGAAAAGCATTGGCATCTCTCAACATTGCAGAGAACGTCACAGTCCCAAACCGAGATCCTTTTAGCAAGGCCGGTAAGATTCCGGGAATATCTGGAAGCAATCTCTCTAAAACCAAGAGACATAACCACGAGGTACCAAAGAGTGCCTTACACACTGAACTCCCAAGAAAGGATCCATTCACAAAAACCGCTAAAATCCCGGAAATATTGGGAAGCGACCACGGAAAGACCAAAAGGCATGACCATGATGAACCAAAAACTGTCGTAGAAAAAGGACTTCCAACAAAAGATCCTTTCACAAAAGTCGCAAAGATTCCAGGAATTTTAGGGAGCGAAAGCAGCAAAACCAAGAGGCATGATCATGATGAACCGAAGAGTGTTTTGGAAAGTGGACTTCTCTCAACAAAAGATCCTTTCACAAAAGCCGCAAAGATTCCTGGAATATTGGGAAGCGAGTATGGAACGACCAAACGGCATGACCATGATGAACCAAAGAGTGTCTTGGACAGTGGTCTACTCTCAACAAAGGACCCTTTCACAAAAGCCGCAAAGATTCCCGGAATATTGGGAAGTGAGCATGGAACGACCAAACGGCATGACCATGATGAACCAAAGAGTGTCTTGGACAGTGGTCTACTCTCAACAATGGATCCGTTCACAAAAGCCGCTAAGATTCCTGGAATATTGGGAAGCGAACACGGAAAGACCAAGCGACACGACCAAGTCGTTCCAAGCAGTGGCTTTGATCAAGGACAGCAATTTCCATCCGATGCAGGTCAAGCATCCCTTCAGCCAGCTGAAAGCCTGGGTAAAATATCAACGGGATCAGACGGTACTCTCTTGCGTCGTAAATCCCTGGCACCCATTGGCAGTGGACATGATACAGAAGTTATATCAGGAGACTTGTCCCCGAAAGCTGTCAAAACTCTAGGTACAGTTGGAAGCGCAGCAGGTCATAAGAAACACAAGACTCAAGAGATGGACATCCGCAAAGAGCTTGGCACTCGAGTCACCGGGGACTCTGTTGGGGTAATGGGTGAAGAGGCATTCTCGTACCAAAGTACAGACGAGGAGGAGTTCTACCTGAAGCACATACTTGCACAGGAGAAGCTCAGGAATAAAGGTCTCCAACAACACGAGGTCACAGAATTACAGCAGGGTCAGGATGTAAGCACCGGAGTAGACAAGGGCACTGTCGGACAAACCAGCAAGAAAACAAAGAAAAAAGACAAGAAAAAAGGCAAGACGGATAAAGGGAAGAAGAAAGTCACATCATCAGTATGGCCAAATGTGACAAGAGGACGCAAGTTTGAAGACATGCCCTACTTCCGCCAAATTAGAATGAGGTACCCCAATGATCCTTACCATGGATTACCCCCCTGGGCCAAGTTCTTCCCCACACCACCGGGACACGAGAAAATGCCAATTCCCGAAATGTACCAGGGCGGAGCCACAGCATTCGACATGGCTGCTGAGTACGACAGAATGTATGGAGCCGGCGGGTCATCGTACGGAGGAGGCTACGAGGGAATGCAGTATGGTCAGGATGTTGGTGACGTGTACCAGGGGACGTACGGGGGAATGTAAGCAAGGGGAATCGGGACTAAAGGTGAGTTACGTTCTAGTATCATCAGTTAATGAAACAGACTTATTCGAAGATTTGCTAAGACTTTACCACAGACAAATCTATATATATTCTAAAACAAACAATTTAATTCATGTAGGAAGTTAACGTATATTTTGATAGTAATTTTTGCGATATTTATTTTAAAAGAATATCCGGAAAATATAATTATCTTACATTGATAAAATTTATTAAAACTGTGCTCATGTGTCTAAAAGCTTTTAAATAATTCTCTGACGTATCTCATTTAACGATCGTTATATGTATTTATATTTTTTGTGTGTTTCTATTAACTTCTATTGCAAAGGTATCAGAGAAAACAATAAAGAAACCGGAAAAAACAATAAGGATATTTCAGTAACAAGCAAGGATATTTCAGAAAAAAACATCGATATCAGAAAAAAGCAGCATGGATATTACAGAAAACAACAAGGATATCAGGAAAAAAACAATATGGAGATTTTAGAAAAAACAAAACACATCGATATCAGAAAAAACAGCAAGGATATTTCAGAAAAAAAGAAAGATATTTCAGAAAAAACGTGGAAATCAGAGAAAACAACAAGAATATCAGAGAAAGGCTGCAGTCCCCACAGATCGGCATGGTTCCCAAGGAAATAAAGTATACCCACTTGTTGGCCCAGAAACAAAGGTACCAGGTGCTCATCACGCGCGGGATCTCCGCGTCGTGCCGAGTGTCCATTCAACAGTATGATAGTTTAACACAATGTAAATTTTGAAGAAAACTTTTAAGCATACAAATATGAAACATGATAAATAGGATACAGAAGAAAGATAATCGGTTGATGTTAACTGAATGGTAAAAAAGGGGAAAGAAAATGAAAAAAAAAGGAGAAGATAGCGGTTTTTCGTTTGGAATTTGGAGGTGAGCTCTGTCAAGCATGGTGTTGACAAAATCTGGCTAAATTATGATGTAAACCTTACTAGATAATCGTATTAATTTGCACTCCATCAAGATAGAATCTATATCAGAGCTTGGTAGAGAATTCTTGAAGTGAGCTCTGAGAAGGTAGAGAATGTAAAAAGAGTAGCAGAAAATTTTGTCAATAATTTAGCACTGGTAATGTACAAAATGTCAATCTTGGCAGAAAAACCCTTGTTAAATATTTGCATATGATCGTACTTTGTCAATGTTGAAATATAAAGCTTCATGAATAATTATATTACGGAGATCTTTCAATTAAGAATATTTGTAAAAATGTAGAATATATATATATACATATATGTACACTTTGTCAATGTAAACAAATGTAAACCACAGTGGGAAATGAATTAACTCATTCACCCCTGAAATTTCATAATGAATTATTCCAACCTTCCAATCTTCAGGGGCTAATGAGTTATAGAGCTCTTGACAAGGTTGATAATGTAAATGAAGTTTAAATAATTGTACATCTTAAAGTTGAGCTCTGGCAATGTAGAAAATGTAAATATTGGTTGAAATGATTGTATTTGTACCATGGAGCTCTGGTAATGTAGAACATGTAAGTTTCGGTACAGCATTTTAATAATGAGCTCTGCTAAGGCAGTTGATGGTGTTGAAAAGAATTGTATTAATGTTTCTGTATGAGAATGAAAACCATGGCAGAGAATTTCCTGAGTGAACTGTTTCACAGTAGAGAGTATTCATCTGGATATATAATTACAAAAGCAAGTTCTTTCTTGATGCATATACTATATTGCATACAAACTCTTTAAATTTAGGGGTAAGATAATTGTTGGTGAAGGTGTTTACCGAGTAAGATAAATTGTATTGGTAAGTAAGTAGAAGTAAAGGTTTTACATTGTAAGATAAAGTGTAATAGTAAGATCATTAACGGGGAGGTGTTTACATAGTAAGATAATTCAAAGTGGTAATATCAGTGGTGGTGAAGGTGTTTACATAGTAAGATAACTTGCAGTGGTAAGATCATTGGTGGTAAAGCTGCTTACATTATCAGATAAATTGCAGTGGTAAGATAAGTAGAAGTAAAGGTTTACCTCGTTAGATAGATAAATTATAAGTTTAAGATCATTGGTGGTGAAGAAGTTAAGATTATGAGATAAATTGAATGGATAAGATCATTGGCAGTGAAGGAGTTAACATTAATAGATAAATTGAAGGGGTAAGATCATTGGTGGTGAAGGAGTTAACATTAATAGATAAATTGAATGGATAAGATCATTGGCGGTGAAGGAGTTAACATTAATAGATAAATTGAAGGGGTAAGATCATTGGTGGTGAAGGAGTTACCATTAATAGATCAATTGAAGGGGTAAGATCATTGGTGGTGAAGTTATTTACATAGTAAGATAAATTGAAGCGGTAAGATTTTTAGTGGTGCAGGAGTTAACATTATTAGAATATCGTGGTGGTAAGATTATTGGTGGTGAAAGGTGTTTTCATTGTAAGATCAATTGTAGTGGTAAGTTAATTGGCAGTGAAGGTGTTTATCTTGTAAGATAATTTGTAGGGGTAAGATAATTGGCAGTGAAGGTGTTTATCTTGTAAGATAATTTGGAGTGGTAAGATAATTGGGAGTGAAGGTATTTATCTTGTAAAATAATTTGTAGTGGTAAGATAATTGGCAGTGAAGGTGTTTATCTTGTAAAATAATTTGCAGGGGTAAGATAATTGGTAGTGAAGGTATTTATCTTGTAAAATAATTTGTAGTGGTAAGATAATTGGCAGTGAAGGTGTTTATCTTGTAAAATAATTTGTAGTGGTAAGATAATTGGTAGTGAAGGTGTTTATCTTGTAAGATAATTTGTAGTGGTAAGATAATTGGCAGTGAAGGTATTTATCTTGTAAAATAATTTGTAGTGGTAAGATAATTGGCAGTGAAGGTGTTTATCTTGTAAAATAATTTGTAGTGGTAAGATAATTGGTAGTGAAGGTATTTATCTTGTAAAATAATTTGTAGTGGTAAGATAATTGGCAGTGAAGGTGTTTATCTTGTAAAATAATTTGTAGTGGTAAGATAATTGGCAGTGAAGGTGTTTATCTTGTAAGATAATTTGTAGTGGTAAGATAATTCGCAGTGAAGGTATTTATCTTGTAAAATAATTTGTAGTGGTAAGATAATTGGTAGTGAAGGTATTTATCTTGTAAAATAATTTGTAGGGGTAAGATAATTGGCAGTGAAGGTGTTTATCTTGTGAAATAATTTGTAGTGGTAAGATAATTGGCAGTGAAGATGTTTATCATGTGAAATAATTTGTAGGGGTAAGATAATTGGCAGTGAAGGTGTTTATCTTGTAAGATAATTTGTAGTGGTAAGATAATTGGCAGTGAAGGTGTTTATCTTGTAAGATAATTTGTAGTGGTAAGATAATTGGCAGTGAAGGTGTTTATCTTGTAAGATAATTTGTAGTGGTAAGATAATTGGCAGTGAAGGTGTTTATCTTGTAAGATAATTTGTAGTGGTAAGATAATTGGCAGTGAAGGTGTTTATCTTGTAAGATAATTTGTAGTGGTAAGATAATTGGTAGTGAAGGTGTTTATCTTGTGAAATCATTTGTAGTGGTAAGATAATTGGCAGTGAAGGTGTTTATCTTGTAAGATAATTTGTAGTGGTAAGATAATTGGCAGTGAAGGTGTTTATCTTGTAAGATAATTTGTAGTGGTAAGATAATTGGCAGTGAAGGTGTTTATCTTGTAAGATAATTTGTAGTGGTAAGATAATTGGCAGTGAAGGTGTTTATCTTGTAAGATAATTTGTAGTGGTAAGATAATTGGCAGTGAAGGTGTTTATCTTGTAAGATAATTTGTAGTGGTAAGATAATTGGCAGTGAAGGTGTTTATCTTGTAAGATAATTTGTAGGGGTAAGATAATTGGTAGTGAAGGTGTTTATCTTGTGAAATCATTTGTAGTGGTAAGATAATTGGCAGTGAAGGTGTTTATCTTGTAAGATAATTTGTAGTGGTAAGATAATTGGCAGTGAAGGTGTTTATCTTGTAAGATAATTTGTAGTGGTAAGATAATTGGCAGTGAAGGTGTTTATCTTGTAAGATAATTTGTAGGGGTAAGATAATTGGTAGTGAAGGTGTTTATCTTGTGAAATCATTTGTAGTGGTAAGATAATTGGCAGTGAAGGTGTTTATCTTGTAAGATAATTTGTAGTGGTAAGATAATTGGCAGTGAAGGTGTTTATCTTGTAAGATAATTTGTAGTGGTAAGATAATTGGCAGTGAAGGTATTTATCTTGTAAGATAATTTGTAGTGGTAAGATAATTGGTAGTGAAGGTATTTATCTTGTAAAATAATTTGTAGTGGTAAGATAATTGGCAGTGAAGGTGTTTATCTTGTAAAATAATTTGTAGTGGTAAGATAATTGGCAGTGAAGGTGTTTATCTTGTAAGATAATTTGTAGTGGTAAGATAATTCGCAGTGAAGGTATTTATCTTGTAAAATAATTTGTAGTGGTAAGATAATTGGCAGTGAAGGTGTTTATCTTGTAAAATAATTTGTAGTGGTAAGATAATTGGCAGTGAAGGTGTTTATCTTGTAAGAAAATTTGTAGTGGTAAGATAATTCGCAGTGAAGGTATTTATCTTGTAAAATAATTTGTAGTGGTAAGATAATTGGTAGTGAAGGTATTTATCTTGTAAAATAATTTGTAGGGGTAAGATAATTGGCAGTGAAGGTGTTTATCTTGTAAAATAATTTGTAGTGGTAAGATAATTGGCAGTGAAGGTGTTTATCTTGTAAAATAATTTGTAGTGGTAAGATAATTGGCAGTGAAGGTGTTTATCTTGTAAGATAATTTGTAGTGGTAAGATAATTGGCAGTGAAGGTGTTTATCTTGTAAGATAATTTGTAGTGGTAAGATAATTGGTAGTGAAGGTGTTTATCTTGTGAAATCATTTGTAGTGGTAAGATAATTGGCAGTGAAGGTGTTTATCTTGTAAGATAATTTGTAGTGGTAAGATAATTGGCAGTGAAGGTGTTTATCTTGTAAGATAATTTGTAGTGGTAAGATAATTGGCAGTGAAGGTGTTTATCTTGTAAGATAATTTGTAGTGGTAAGATAATTGGCAGTGAAGGTGTTTATCTTGTAAGATAATTTGTAGTGGTAAGATAATTGGCAGTGAAGGTGTTTATCTTGTAAAATAATTTGTAGTGGTAAGATAATTGGCAGTGAAGGTGTTTATCTTGTAAGATAATTTGTAGTGGTAAGATAATTCGCAGTGAAGGTGTTTATCTTGTAAGATAATTTGTAGTGGTAAGATAATTGGTAGTGAAGGTATTTATCTTGTAAAATAATTTGTAGTGGTAAGATAATTGGCAGTGAAGGTGTTTATCTTGTAAAATAATTTGTAGTGGTAAGATAATTGGCAGTGAAGGTGTTTATCTTGTAAGATAATTTGTAGTGGTAAGATAATTGGCAGTGAAGGTGTTTATCTTGTAAGATAATTTGTAGTGGTAAGATAATTGGCAGTGAAGGTGTTTATCTTGTAAGATAATTTGTAGTGGTAAGATAATTGGCAGTGAAGGTGTTTATCTTGTAAGATAATTTGTAGTGGTAAGATAATTGGCAGTGAAGGTGTTTATCTTGTAAGATAATTTGTAGTGGTAAGATAATTGGCAGTGAAGGTGTTTATCTTGTAAGATAATTTGTAGGGGTAAGATAATTGGTAGTGAAGGTGTTTATCTTGTGAAATCATTTGTAGTGGTAAGATAATTGGCAGTGAAGGTGTTTATCTTGTAAGATAATTTGTAGTGGTAAGATAATTGGCAGTGAAGGTATTTATCTTGTAAGATAATTTGTAGTGGTAAGATAATTGGCAGTGAAGGTGTTTATCTTGTAAGATAATTTGTAGTGGTAAGATAATTGGCAGTGAAGGTGTTTATCTTGTAAGATAATTTGTAGGGGTAAGATAATTGGCAGTGAAGGTGTTTATCTTGTGAAATCATTTGTAGTGGTAAGATAATTGGCAGTGAAGGTGTTTATCTTGTAAGATAATTTGTAGTGGTAAGATAATTGGCAGTGAAGGTGTTTATCTTGTAAGATAATTTGTAGGGGTAAGATAATTGGCAGTGAAGGTGTTTATCTTGTGAAATAATTTGTAGTGGTAAGATAATTGGCAGTGAAGGTGTTTATCTTGTAAGATAATTTGTAGTGGTAAGATAATTGGCAGTGAAGGTGTTTATCTTGTAAGATAATTTGTAGTGGTAAGATAATTGGCAGTGAAGGTATTTATCTTGTAAGATAATTTGTAGTGGTAAGATAATTGGTAGTGAAGGTATTTATCTTGTAAAATAATTTGTAGTGGTAAGATAATTGGCAGTGAAGGTGTTTATCTTGTAAAATAATTTGTAGTGGTAAGATAATTGGCAGTGAAGGTGTTTATCTTGTAAGATAATTTGTAGTGGTAAGATAATTCGCAGTGAAGGTATTTATCTTGTAAAATAATTTGTAGTGGTAAGATAATTGGCAGTGAAGGTGTTTATCTTGTAAAATAATTTGTAGTGGTAAGATAATTGGCAGTGAAGGTGTTTATCTTGTAAGAAAATTTGTAGTGGTAAGATAATTCGCAGTGAAGGTATTTATCTTGTAAAATAATTTGTAGTGGTAAGATAATTGGTAGTGAAGGTATTTATCTTGTAAAATAATTTGTAGGGGTAAGATAATTGGCAGTGAAGGTGTTTATCTTGTGAAATAATTTGTAGTGGTAAGATAATTGGCAGTGAAGATGTTTATCATGTGAAATAATTTGTAGTGGTAAGATAATTGGCAGTGAAGGTGTTTATCTTGTAAGATAATTTGTAGTGGTAAGATAATTGGCAGTGAAGGTGTTTATCTTGTAAGATAATTTGTAGGGGTAAGATAATTGGTAGTGAAGGTGTTTATCTTGTGAAATCATTTGTAGTGGTAAGATAATTGGCAGTGAAGGTGTTTATCTTGTAAGATAATTTGTAGTGGTAAGATAATTGGCAGTGAAGGTGTTTATCTTGTAAGATAATTTGTAGTGGTAAGATAATTGGCAGTGAAGGTGTTTATCTTGTAAGATAATTTGTAGTGGTAAGATAATTGGCAGTGAAGGTGTTTATCTTGTAAGATAATTTGTAGTGGTAAGATAATTGGCAGTGAAGGTGTTTATCTTGTAAGATAATTTGTAGTGGTAAGATAATTGGCAGTGAAGGTATTTATCTTGTAAGATAATTTGTAGTGGTAGATAATTGTAGAGGTGTAGCTTCTAAGGTTGAGAATGATTATCATGGTAGATAATTGTAGAGGTGTAGCTCCGAAGGTTGAGAATGATTATCATGGTAGATAATTGTAGAGGGGGGAGCTCCTAAGGTTCAGAATGATTATCATGGTTGATAGTTGTAGAGGTGGAGCTCCTAAGGTTGAGAATGATTATCATGGTAGATGATTGTAAAGGGGGGGAGCTCATAGGGTTAAGAATGATTATCTTGGTTGATAGTTGTAGGGGTGGAGCTCCTAAGGTTGAGAATGATTATCTTGGTAGATAATTGTAGAGGTGGAGCTCCTGAGGTTAAGAATGATTATTATGGTAGATAGTTGTAGAGGTGGAGTTCCTAAGGATGAGAATGATTATCATGGTAAATAATTGTAGAGGTGGAGCTCCTAAGGTAGTGAATGATTATCTTGGTTGATAGTTGTAGGGGTGGAGCTCCTAAGGTTGAGAATGATTATCATGGTTGATAGTTGTAGACGTGGAGCTCCTGAGCATGAGAATGATTATCATGGTAAATAATTGTAGAGGTGGAGCTCCTGAGGTTAAGAATGATTATTATGGTAGATAGTTGTAGAGGTGGAGCTCCTGAGGTTAAGAATGATTATTATGGTAGATAGTTGTAGAGGTGGAGTTCCTAAGGTTGAGAATAATTATCATGGTATAATCGTAGAGGTGGAGCTCCTAAGGCTGAGAATGATTACCATGGTAGATAATTGTAGAGGGGGGAGCTCCTAAGGTTCAGAATGATTATCATGGTTGATAATTGTAGAGGGGGGAGCTCCTAAGGTTGAGAATGATTATGTTGGTAGATAATTGTAGAGATGGAGCTCCTAAGGTTGAGAATGATTATCTTGGTAGATAATTGTAGAGATGGAGCTCCTAAGGTTGAGAATAATTATCATGGTAGATAATTATAGAGGTGGAGCTCCTAAGGATGAGAATGATTATCATGGCAGATAATTGTAGAGGTGGAGCTCCTAAGATTGAGAATGATTATCATGGTAGATAATTGTAGAGGTGGAACTCCTAAGATTGAGAATGATTATCATGATGGATAATTGTAGAGGTGGGGCTCCTAATGTTGAGAATGATTATCATGGTAGATAATTGAAGAGGTGGAACTCCTAAGATTGAGAATGATTATCATGATGGATAATTGTAGAGGAGGGGCTCCTAATGTTGAGAATGATTATCATGGTAGATAATTGGAGAGGTGGAACTCCTAAGATTGAGAATGATTATCATGATGGATAATTGTAGAGGAGGGGCTCCTAATGTTGAGAATGATTATCATGGTAGATAATTGGAGAGGTGGAACTCCTAAGATTGAGAATGATTATCATGGTAGATAATTGTAAAGGTGGAGCTCCTAAGGTTGGGAATGATTATCATGGTAGATAATTGTAGAGATGGGGCTCCTAAGGAAGAGAATGATTATCATGGAAGATAATTGTAGAGGGGGGAGCTCCTAAGGTTAAGAGTATGATTATCATGGTAGATAATTGTAGAGGTGTAGCTCCTAAGGTTGAGAATGATTATCATGGGAGATAATTGTAGAGTTGGAGCTCCTAAGGTTGGGAATGATTATCATGGTAGATAATTGTAGAGGTGGAGCTCCTAAGGTTGATAATGATTATCATGGTAGATAATTGTAGAGATGGGGCTCCTAAGGAAGAGAATGATTATCATGGTAGATAATTGTAGAGGGGGGAGCTCCTAAGGTTAAGAATGATTATCTTGGTTGATAGTTGTAGAGGTGGAGCTCCTAAGGTTGAGAATGATTATGTTGGTTGATAGTTGTAGAGGTGGAGCTCCAAAGATTGAGAATGATTATCATGGTAGATAATTGTAGAGGTGGAGCTCCTAAGGTTGAGAATGATTATCATGGTAGATAATTGTAGAAGTGGAGCTCGTAAGGTTGAGAATGATTATCATGGTAGATAATTGTAGAGGTGGAGCTCCTAAGGTTGAGAATGATTATCATGGTAGATAATTGTAGAAGTGGAGCTCGTAAGGTTGAGAATGATTATCATGGTAAATAATTGTAGAGGTGGAGCTCCTCAGGTTGAAAATGATAATCTTGGTTGATATTTGTAAAGGTGGAGCTCCTCAGGTTGGGAATGATTATCATGGTAGATAGTTGTAGAGGTGGATCTCCTTAGGAAGAGAATGATTATCTTGGGTGATAGTTGTAGAGGTGGAGCTCCTAAGGTTGAGAATGATTATGTTGGTTGATAGTTGTAGAGGTGGAGCTCCTAAGGTTGAGAATGATTATGTTGGTTGATAGTTGTAGAGGTGGAGCTCCTAAGGTTGAGAATGATTATGTTGGTTGATAGTTGTAGAGGTGGAGCTCCTAAGGTTGAGAATGATTATGTTGGTTGATAGTTGTAGAGGTGGAGCTCCTAAGGTTGAGAATGATTATGTTGGTTGATAGTTGTAGAGGTGGAGCTCCTAAGGTTGAGAATGATTATCATGGTAGATAATTGCAGAGGTGGAGCTCCTAAGGTTGAGAATGATTATCATGATGGATAATTGTAGAGGGGGAGCTCTTTGGAGCGTGATAATATTTGTCCTGTCCTGGATTGATCATTAAAGAGGGGAATTATCTGGAGATGGAGTACATTTATGTCCCTGGCTGATAGTTGTAGAGGGGATCTCTTTTGAGATAGAAGATAACCTTTAAGGAGAATTCTTTGAAGCTTAGCATGTTTACTTTGTCTTAGGAGAGAAGTATGTTTATTATGTTCTTGGTTTTATATATTTTGTTAAGGCAAACTCTATGAAGGTAGGGTATGCCGACTTCATTTTTAGATGATTACAGTTGAGGAAAATCACTGGAGGTTGAGCATGTGTGCTAAGTTCTTGGTTGATAATTGCAGAGGAGCTCTTAGAAATTCGAGCATTTAAGAGGTTGAAGAATTTTTTTTATCCTATGATAGACAATGGCAGTGACAATTTTTTTCTGGATTGAGCGTGTTTAAGGTGGTATAGTATATTGTAGAGATGAACTCTTTTTTGTTGGAGTATAATATCAGGTAGAGAATTGTTGATAGGAATCTCTGCCATGGTGAAAAAATATGGTGTGAATTTGTAAGCATGCAATCTGTAAAGACATGACTGTATTTAAATGTTAAAATTAACAAAATTCATTTTATGTAAAAAAAAAATAGAATGTTAATAATAAACATTGTTGTGATGAACATTGAACCTTGTGCTTTGTGTATTTGTTAAAGCGATATCGATCAATCCTTCACTTTCATAATCAAACTAGAGACAACAGAAATATTTTCACAAAATTACTTCAAATGTCAAAATTTCATCTTTTGGTCTTGCTATGTGATAAGTTTGATTTCACATTCAAATATATAGTAGGCAGATTTAAGAGTAATATAAATTTTCTTTCTTTCACAACAACACTTTCCAACTTGTATTAATCACTCGTTTGCCCGGATGGTGCGTGCAGAGGTTGGAGCTGGAAGAAACCCATGTAGTTGGACAGGTGACTGAATCTGTTCTGGAAGTGGTTCCCCATCTTGGTGAAGGGTCGAGTGCACCGTCCACTGCGCTACCAAACTGATCCATTAATAATAATGATAATAATAACTCGAGGTTATTATATACCGCTTCATCACAACCAGGTAGTTCGTAGGTCGTCTCAAAGCAGTTATTATCCGTGGTTATAGGGCCTTTGCTACCAGTCAATATCTTTCGCAACTCCCTGGGGAGCAAAGTATCTTGCTAAAGGATGCAACACAGTGCCGTGCCACGACTCGAACCTGCAACCCTTCAGTCACGAGCCTGGCATCCTACCACTAGACTACCGTGCCTCCTAGACTACCGTGCATTGTTGGAACAATAAAAAAAAACCCACCATTGTAACTTTCTGACTGTAGGCTTTTATTACAAATTGGTGGTAAAGATTTGATCTAGATTTACAAAAACATATTCAAACAAACCTATCAAACAGCCTTTATTCAGATCAACTGCTATACAGTTACTTTTTACCCTAGCTCTGATGATTTTTTTTCAAAATACATTCTGAAATCAATGCATAGTCTAATTGATAGTTTCCAATCTGATGACTTAAGCAATTTCATTAAATTATAAAGGAGAGATAAAATAAAGCATAAAATCAATGATATATAAATGCAGTTTATAACAAAAAATGTCTGAGATATACTTAGGATAAAATTACATTAAACACACCACTATAACGTACTTGCTTATTAAATAAAAACAAGACTGGCAATTTTCTGTCTCTAAATATCTTATAGTAAATCACAGAAAATGATAAAGTTGGAATGTTTTTTCAAAGCAGATATTCTTAAAGTATTAGGGCCGTCACAATATATCAGGTATATCAAGAAAACGGGTATATCACCATGCACAGGCACCGCAATGCAGAAAGAAAATATCGCTGTATTGCAATACTTTTACAAGCTTAATTTTATGTATTTGTCAAGTATTCAATCTTTGCTAATTACTACACATTCTAACAGATAGGCCAATGACCATAAACAGGCTATAACTAGTGGTGGAAATCAGTTGCAAGGTCATGATCAATGGTTGGTTTAACAAAAATCTTTTAAATTCTGTGTGTTCCATATAATGTAGGATTCAGCTTGATAACATACTGACAATTGTTTTTGAAGTTGAGCACCTTTTTCCTACAACATATATTGAGAAAGGTATCGCATGATTCATTCCCTCTGTATTGTAATATATCGTGATACACTCTAAATATTGCAATATATCGTGATACACTCTAAATATTGCAATATATCGTGATACACTTTAAATATTGCAATATATCGTGATACACTCTAAATATTGCAATATATCGTGATACACTCTAAATATTGAAATATATCATGATACACTCTAAATATTGCAATATATCGTGATACACTCCAGGTATATTGTGACACCCTTATATATACATATTAATACATGCATATATATAATTTGACTGTCATCTATGACTAATTAGTGATGATATTGACATGTGTAAGTCATATGTACATACTGTAGGGTTTATCAAATGTACAATGCAGATACGAAATCAAAGACTCCTAGCTATCAAATCACAGGATTTTGTTTTATAAACAAACAACGTGAATTATCTCCCTTGATCCATCCTTGTTACCGTGCTAACCTTGATCGATTGTTAAACAATAAACATACATGTATATAAACCTATATCGGATGTAATCCATATCATTGTACAATAAAAAAACATTTTAATGGAAGACTGTCTTTTTTATCCAACTTATAATCTCTTAAAAATATGATATCACACAATTTGACGACAGATTTTTTTCTTCTGAATATCAAGCATACATGACACGCATAAAATCTTGATGTTTTCACAGCAAACACCCCACTCAGTTAAAAATTTGCATGATATCTAAAATAAAAAAGCACAATATTTTCTAAAACACTTCTTACACATTTTGTAGAAGATCAAAAGTTCTTCGATAAAATTAAATTTTTCGGTGGGGTTGTGCAAGAGAAACATATTGTTGTTCCCATCTATAGCTCTCGTACTGGTCGTCCAGCAGAATCAAATCTCTCTGCAACACAAGAAAAACACGAAAATTAGTGTACCTACAGCATTGTTTCAAATTCATATTTTTTTTATATTGTAAAGCATTTGACTTGTTACCAACATTGAAGCTAGCTTAGATTAAGTTCCAGAAAGACTTCATTAATAGTCTTGTACAACTGGATGATATAAATAGAGATTAACATTTGGGAGAATTCGTACTGTAGATTTGGTTCTGTTGAAAGCTCGGTAGACCCTAAGCTTTTAGACCAGGTAATATGGGTTAGGTAACTTTCATCCAGTATATATGATATCCTGAAATATTTGCATGAATTTTCATTTATAGTTCAAATCAATTTTTTAAAATTATTTCCATGGTGCATGTACATATGTTTGCTATAAGCTATAAGGTTCAGCAAAATATGGATTTTCCAGTATATACCAGCAAAAGTCACGAATATTGATTATACCACAAAGCATACATTTACCTTAACCCTTTCACCACTGTAGACCAAAATGGACTCATCCAGATCAATGCATGGTAGAGTCTTCTAAAGTTACATAGGGGTGAAAGGGTTAAAACAGCTAAATGTGCCTATGATGAACCTGATCAGGAGACCTTAATTTGTTTGGTGCAATCACAACTGGTTTGATATACATGAGAAAATTCTTTACAATTCAAAATAATTATAACTTCTTGTTGTAAGCAAGAATTTTTCATAAATATATATGCCCATTGTTGAACTGCTGCTATGATTCAGAACACAAAAACATATTTCAAAGCCAGCTTTTCATTTTTCTTCGCTGACCTTCTATTAAGCAGAATTTGGATCTCACACACTCATGTACTGGCCTCTAAATGTCTCTCTCAATAAATATCATCAAACTCCCCAATAAATGTTGATATTTTGGTAAACAAATACAGGAAGTAAATCAACATTATCAGTTAAAATCTCACAAGCTCACACCCCCTCCCCCACAGATACTGTTATTGCCCCTTGATCAAAGAAATGAGGATTGTCACAGAATTTCCTGGACCCTCGGTAGTGGTCAGGACTTACCACAGTGGGGGTTGCCCAGGATCTTTGTGTTGGCGATGTGGTTGCCGTCAAGGTCCGAGCACCAGCAGACCTTCCCAGTAGGATCACACTGTGTCTTCTCGTAGAATCCCTCGGTGGTACACCTGGGCTTGTAACCTTTAGACGGAAACAAAGAACATGTCAACTTGGGTACTTACACACAAAGCTTGAAGCTTGTACATACAACAGGACACATGTCAACTCAGATATTCACCCACAGGATCAGTGTTACAGTTAGGCTTGTAGCTTTTACACAGAAACAGAAAACAAGTCCATTCTTCAAGTACTGATACATAGGCGACTTGTTAACTCGCTAACCACCAACATATTTTTACAACCCTTTTGCTCATTTTCTGGAGAATTCTTTTATACTTTTCCCTCAATTTATTGCCAGATCTCTTTATAACGTCAACATTTCTCTAGACCAATGGTGACAGTATAATGAGACTTTACTGTCCGATATACCAGGCATGTTACTGCTGTATGCATTAATTTATATACCAAAACAGTGGAACATTTAAACAGGCATGACTTTACTTTAACAACATATAATTCAGACCCTTATATAACCAAACTTTATTATCCTCAAATAAGTCTATATGTAGAAGAATTAATTTGATACAACAGTGCTTGTGAAATGTATCTACACTTTTACGTATCATTCTTACCTTGATCATTTGTTCCGATCTTGTCTTTTTCTAAATGTTTGAAGCAGGGAGCCTCTGCAAAATGAAATTAAAAGCCTCAAAATGTTTATCTTATACCATGATGTGAAAATGTGTACAAGAGGCAATTTCTGGTTTTGTTCATTGTCGACTATTCAAACTTTCAACCTTTTTTGCAATGTGAAAATCAAATTAGTTAAAAAAGAAATTAATGAAAATTTCTACTTTTATACAGAAATTAGTGTCAAGTGTAAATTATGATTTTGAACAGAGTACCAAAATGGCCTCTTATACGAAAATTGTCTGGTTCATCAAACTGATTTCACCAAAAGGTCTCTCTTGAAGTAAAATATTTTCATCTGCTCTTCAAGATGGTCCCAAAAGACTTTCGAACAAGGACTGACTTTTTTGACAGATTGAGGTTACAGGTTTAACTGTACGTACCAGTGTCAGTAAAACAACAGCACCATTCCTTCTTGGACAGCATTTTATCTTTGTCTGTGTCACATGACTCCAGCAGCGGTGTGATACACTTCTCCTCGTGGATGTCCTCGAGGATAGCCAGCTCGGCATTGGTGAGGTAAGTATCTCCGTCTTTGTCCAGACTACGTCGCTCCCACATCACTGATGCTCCGCAGTTACACTGGCCAACTGTAACATAAAAGACACCTCTTTCAGCGTGGTATAACACTCAAGACACTTCAGATTTGGTGTCATACATAAGACACTTCAGATTTGGTGCCATACATAAGACACTTCAGATTTGGTGTCATACATAAGACACCTCAGATTTGGTGTCATACATAAGACACTTCAGATTTGGTGCCATACATAAGACACTTCAGATTTGGTGTCATACATAAGACACTTCAGATTTGGTGTCATACATAAGTCACTTCAGATTTGGTGTCATACATAAGACACTTCAATCAGAGTCAATGTAATACACAAGTCACTTTAATCAGAGTCAATGTAATACACAAGACACTTCAACCAGAGTCAATGTAATACACAAGACACTTCAATCAGAGTCACTGTAATACACAAGACACTTCAATATCAGAGTCAATGTTATACACAAGACACTTCAATATCAGAGTCAATGTTATACACAAGACACTTCAATATCAGAGTCAATGTTATACACAAGACACTTCAATATCAGAGTCAATGCAATACACAAGACACTTCAATCAGAGTCAATGTAATCCACAAGACACTTCAATATCAGAGTCAATGTAATCCACAAGACACTTCAATATCAGAGTCAATGTAATCCACAAGACACTTCAATATCAGAGTCAATGTAATAGGTAAGACACTTTAATCAGAGTCAATTTAATACACAAGACACTTCTATATCAGAGTCAATGTAATACACAAGACACTTCAATCAGAGACAATGTAATACACAAGACACTTCAATATCAGAGTCAATGTAATACATAAGACACTTCAATATCAGAGTCAATGTAATACAAAAGACACTTTAATCAGAGTCAATGTAATACACAAGACACTTCTATATCAGAGTCAATGTAATACACAAGACACTTCAACCAGAGTCAATGTAATACACAAGACACTTCAATATCAGAGACAATGAAATACACAAGACACTTCAATCAGAGTCAATGTAATCCACAAGACACTTCAATATCAGAGTCAATGTAATCCACAAGACACTTCAATATCAGAGTCAATGTAATAGGTAAGACACTTTAATCAGAGTCAATTTAATACACAAGACACTTCTATATCAGAGTCAATGTAATACACAAGACACTTCAACCAGAGTCAATGTAATACACAAGACACTTCAATATCAGAGACAATGAAATACACAAGACACTTCAATCAGAGTCAATGTAATGCACAAGACACTTCAATCAGAGTCAATGTAATACACAAGCCACTTCAATATCAGAGTCAATGTTATACACAAGACACTTCAATATCAGAGTCAATGTCATACACAAGACACTTCAATCAGAGTCAATGTAATCCACAAGACACTTCAATATCAGAGTCAATGTAATCCACAAGACACTTCAATATCAGAGTCAATGTAATCCACAAGACACTTCAATATCAGAGTCAATGTAATAGGTAAGACACTTTAATCAGAGTCAATGTAATACACAAGACACTTCAATATCAGAGACAATGAAATACACAAGACACTTCAATCAGAGTCAATGTAATGCACAAGACACTTCAATCAGAGTCAATGTAATACACAAGCCACTTCAATATCAGAGTCAATGTTATACACAAGACACTTCAATATCAGAGTCAATGTAATACATAAGACACTTCAATATCAGAGTCAATGTAATACAAAAGACACTTTAATCAGAGTCAATGTAATACACAAGACACTTCAATCAGAGTCAACGTAATACACAATACACTTCAATATCAGAGTCAATGTAATAGGTAAGACACTTTAATCAGAGTCAATTTAATACACAAGACACTTCTATATCAGAGTCAATGTAATACACAAGACACTTCAATATCAGAGTCAATGTAATAGGTAAGACACTTTAATCAGAGTCAATGTAATACACAAGACACTTCTATATCAGAGTCAATGTCATACACAAGACACTTTAATCAGAGTCAATTTAATACACAAGACACTTCCATATCAGAGTCAATGTAACACACAAGACACTTCAACCAGAGTCAATGTAATGCACAAGACACTTCAACCAGAGTCAATGTAATACACAAGACACTTCAATATCAGAGTCAATGTAATAGGTAAGACATTTCAATCAAATTCAATCTCATAGTCAATGCAGCAGGTAAAACACTTGGATCGGAGATTTGATGCAATAATCGAATCACTTCAGAGTCTTTGTATTACTCAAGAAAAATTCAAAAATAGTACTCTACCTGAGCCTGAGAGAACACTTAATTCAAAGAATTTTCTCACCTACTCTTTGATGTTTTATGGCTTATGTGAAAAAGCCCAGAATCTGTCATCCAAGTCAGACTATACAGCAGTGCAAAATTGATTTATAAAACCAATCACTCTACCTACCTTCCATATTTTGTTTTGATGGAAACACTGAAACACACTGAAACACTTCTTTTTGACAAATTTATAAGGTTTGAACACTCAATAACATCAGACATGTCTACTTACATGTTCTGAAATCCCCAAAATGCTTGGGTTTCCTAATCTGGGAATGGTTCATTCTGTACTTTTTGCTCCTGTGTTCCTTCTTCTGTGTGTGCAGACTCACAAACCAGCCATTCAATCGTCGCTTGATTTCCTCAATCTTGTTGACACATTCTGAAAAAATGGCAGATTATTTCTTACGATTGTTGAAATATTTGATTAGATAAATGATTTATCACATCAATCATGCGATTCTCAAAAACATTTATAGATCATATACCAACACATGAGACTGAAAGTCTGTAAAAACTTTTATTACCTGATATGCATAAATTAAAAACAAAAACACACATTCAGACTCTGGAAACATAGCTTTAATTATACACTGTCCCAATTTAACAATGCAACCTGTCTAATCCCAACATTCTGTTTACTACAACAAAATGCTGGTTATAATCTGACCAACATGTTGTGTCCCACAGGATGTCAGATTAGACAGGTTATTCTGACCAATATAATGTGTACTGCAGGTCAGATTCGACAGGTTAACCAATATGTTGTGTCCCACAGGATATTGGATTAGACAGGTTCTGCCCCATAACTGTGTCCCACATGGTGTCAGAATACACAGGTTTCATCGTTTATCATTTTGCAGGTAAATGAAATTGACGAGAGGTAACACATGTTTATAATCCAGTTAAAGCTTTATATGATGGCTTCTCACTTTATCTGTCGCCTCATTTTCTGCCAAATTATTCCAAGATTTAAATTATTTCACGCTACAGCTTTCCCATTATATTGGGACATTAATATTTTGCTGGACAAAGGTGTCAGTGTGATGTGGTTTCAACGTAACATAATCAGAGGAAAGTCATGAAAAAATATAATTCTTAACTCACGAGGATATTTCCTGCTGATTTCTGTCTGACTTCCTTCACCCATATGCATCAGTTCCTAAAATGAGGAATTAATTATTGTATAATATTATTTCCTTAAAGCATAAAAAGGTGAATTTGAAAAAAAATATATGTAGCTACACAGATCGTTGGTCTGAATCAAACTTATGCACACAATGTTATTATTTAAAATTGTTTGATGAAAAATGAATAAATATATGTATATAATTACAAGGAATAGGTAATCTAAAGGTATTTTTAATTTACCAGATAATTACCAAATACATTATCTCTACTTCAATTTGTCTTATAAAACATTTAACAAATACATATACATGTATACCCATAGCATTATAATAAATAGATAATCTAATGGTAATTTGTATTTTTATCATGAAAAGGATAAAATATATTCGTACAATTTTTGCATTAATCTGTAACACAACCCTAAACATGTATAAAAGTAGTCTAGTCATCACTGCAACTCACATCAACGGCGTCCATGTTCTCAATCAGTTGGTGCTGCGATAAAAAATCCCTGTTGTGTTTCTGTTAAATATTAAAGCAACCTATGTCATTTTATGAATATCTACACAAAATCCACTGTATGTGTCTGTGTTATTTCAGCCTACATGTAGAACAACTGTTCAAAGCTATAACATTTAATAATAATATGTCTAAATAAACTTCATAAAACATACTCCATTGTGTCATGTTACTTCCTTCACCCCTGAAGTTTCATAATGAACTATTCCAACCTTTGAAATTGAACATCATGAGAGCCTATGTCAATTTATAACCATTGTTTTGCCCTGATTTAGGGAATTCTACTGATTTCAAAAGTTCAAATTGGGATTTAAAAAATCTAAAGACTCCCTCAAAATTAGGACGTGTACAGTTGACAATTATGTATGATAAACAAGAACCAGCTACACTAATTATGATAACCTGCATTAATTAATGGGCACTTATGGCACCTGTCAGGATTTTTTTCATAAATACCGAAATGCACTTACAAAATCACATGCATATACGTATACATGCATAGTCGGTGATCTTAAAAGTTTACTTAAATTAGTACTGATACTCAACACTCTCACCCCTTAAGTATCATGATGCTCCAGGTTTATTTGTTACCCCCTCGCCTCCTCCATGGCCAGACCAAAAACGCATGGCCGTTATCCATGAAGCTAAAGTAATTTCTAACAGAAAAAAACCCCATCTTGTACCTTGGTCTTCTTCATTGCTTTAAGTTGCTTGTTCCTGATGGTATTAGGGCGCTCGTCCAGCTCCTTGACCCTGCTTTCCAGATGGTTATACTTTCCGTGAAAACCACGCTGCTCCTTCATCAGGTGATTGTGACGTTTGCCTCCCTTCCTGTGACGTTTATTAAACCTGGATAACTGGCGACTGCAATATATAAATGTCAGTGTTAATTCAAGCAAATGCTGACTGAAAATAATTTATGTAATGGAAAATTCTGATGACATGAAATGCTTCATATTCATATATTGCCAAACTGTACATGAAACATGGAAACTCAAATTTCTATATACAGTTAACTCGACATGCGAGTCCAATACCCTATTCTTGACTCAAATACTTTGGTCTAATAAGCCTACAAACATATTACCCTGTCCTGTTATTTTGAACAGGTTCCTCAACCAAACAGGTTCTAATTCAACATTGTTGACTGCATACTAAAAATAAAATATTTGTGTACAGACTTATCAAAGCCGTTTCTTAGCTACATATAGCTGCCTATTAGCAGAAATAGGCGAATCCACCAAATTTTTAAAAATGCAGAAACAAATTTTAACAAGAGGCCCATGGGCCTTAACGGTCACCTGATATATTTATACAGAGAGTTGATTTTGTTTTTAACATGAACAGAAATATTATTCAAAGTGACAAAAAACAATAAAACCACCTTACTCAATATCTAGCATACAGATTTCAGACTGAAAAGGATTTGAAACTAGCACCTCTGATTCTTAACAAGGAAAATGAAGAAATTTTAGCACACTGACTCCTTTGAGCCCCACCCTACAGCCCTTGGGGGTAGGGCTGGCTCAAAATTTTCAAAGTATCAAACTGTCAATTCAAGGTTATAATTCCAATCAAGTTATTAACATGTAATATT